AAACAAATGAAATGGACTTGAAAGAACGTGTGTTGCTTAGTATTCCAACCTACTTCAGACAATATTTAGCGCGATAATTTTAAAATATTCCACGGTGTACCATTTTAACCTTACAAAAGGTTATATATATATATTCTTATGTGTTCACGCTGTACCGTGGTACACCGTCAATGCGCATGCGCTATTATACGACAATAACAAAATCGGATTAGTCATTTAGTGCGGCGGTCAAGCAATATATTTCCACTCAACAGCTAAGCGTTAGTCTGTCTAACAACACAAATAAGTATGGATAAACGCATTTTAGAATATTCTTAGTGCAAAATAGTTGGTATATACACTATGAGGTACATTGACTTGCTCTCCGACGTATATTAAATGCGCGAAAGTTGTCGCATATGATTCTTAATCGCATTCTATACAAGCTATCGAAGCATAGCGTTGCATGAGGGTATTATATTACCTTATTGACCATGTGATATTTGCTTCTTGAAGCCTAATACATTATAGTGAGCCATAGTTACTACGGGAAGAGAAAGTCCTGCATAAAACACAATTTTTAATGCGCAATGCCTTGGTTATTGAATTTGAAAGATACAGACAATCCTGGACAAAACCATCTGCGACACTCTATTAAAACATTCCTTTGCGGCTTTTTTTACCAGTTAGACCGGAATAATTTACTCGTTTGCCCCCCTCCGCCCCCCAAAACAATGTTGGACGTTTTATCCGTATTCTACGAATCCAATCAACATTGAATGGTGGGGGAAAGGGGGAGGTTTTCTAAATTTATGATAACATTACGATATTTTGTCAAGTATAATTGGAAGTGTCGCAGATGTTTTGTCCAGGATTGTAGTTCCTTCAATACCAATGTGTTCTAATGATTTGAATTTTTCTGTGTTGGTGTTGTGTACTCTGGTGAATAATATGTTTGCGATGTTACTCTGAGTGCATATCCACACCGGGCAAGCTTGAAAAATATGCCCGGCCACGGTGGGATTCGAACCTACGACCTTTGGAATACTAGCCCAATGCTCTTCCAACTGAGCTACGCGGTCAGGATGGTTCAAGTAAGTGATATTTCGGAACAGTATCTAGTTCCTTTAATACCAATGAAGGAACTAGATACTGTTCCAAAATATCACTTACTCGAACCATCCTGACCGTGTAGCTCAGTTGGAAGAGCATTGGGCTAGTATTCCAAAGGTCGTAGGTTCGAATCCCACTGTGGCCGGGCATATTTTTCAAGCTCGCCCGGTGTGGATATGCACTCAGAGTAACATCGCAAACATATGTTTTAAAGTATGTTTTCATCGGCACGTTAAAATATTGGTCATATATACAGGTTTAGTTATTTTAACTCGAAGTCTTTTGGTGAAAAAGGATTTTGCTTGCTAATTTTCGCTCAAACAACGTTTTGACAAATTTCGCACTCCTCGTAACTCACCCTAGTCTTTTTGAAAGTGCATTTTCACTGCACGGTTCCCACTTTTAGCTTCAACCAATCATAGCACTTGAGCATAGGAGTTATCATTCCAGTTTTGTAGAGTTCACTGGAACAACATAAGATCTGGATTGCTTGTTGCTCTCATTTTCCTTTCATTGCCAAGATTTCTTGCTGGTAGTATATCTTTATTTGCATACACCGAGCATTAATCATTTTGAAAAAATGTACCAAATCTAAATATTCATGCCACAAACTAATTGGTAGTAAGTTGGAGACTTTTAAACGTTCTTTGTAGGTACTTAGGTTAAGGATAAACTTTGTTGCATGATGCTGCACTTTTTCAACTCACTTTATCAGCTCGATTGTTTGAGGAGCCCAGATATAAGCATCTGAGATATAAGCATCTTCTTGTTACTGGGTTTCTTATCTCCTGGGATGATCTTAGGAATCACAACAGTTTGTTCCCTTTCAAACAATGCTCAATAACTTGCTTGTTCCAGGTCAAATCACTCGACACACAGACACCAAGATCTTTTTAATGACTCGCAATACTGTTGTTGACCATTAATCGTGTACGAATATTCAAATTGTGTTTTCTTGCATGTAATATGCTGTCACTTGCATTTTGGTTGGTTGAATTTCAAACCATTCTCTCTGGCCCAAGTGTTGATGTTGTCAATATCACTTTGAAGACCAACGGTATGTTCGCAGCTGTTAACCTGCTTTAGAACCTTCGTGTCATCAGCGAAACAAGCCACTTTTGATGTTTTTACGATCCGGGGCAGATTTACAAGCATAGATAAAATGCTAGATATTCAGTTAGAAAATCATATTTTAGAAATATAACACGGCAAAATGTAAACAAAGTGTTTGTTAATTTACATTACAGCATCTTTACAAAAAATTTTTATAAATCGAGTTTTCTTGAAAAAAATGTTTTTCAATCATTTTATAGAAACTTTTGCATAGGTTGGAGCACTTTACAAGTTATCATTTGCTATGCTCCCCCCTTTGCTAAGGCTTGGATTGCCTGTGGTCCCACCTTGGCCTTTCACCAAAATTTCTTAACATGTTTTGTGACAATTTGTTAGAAAGTTTCGCTCAAGTTGGATTGCTTTTGGATTTTTCAAATATTTGCTGTTGTCTCTCTTTGTTAACGCTAGGGTTGGCTGTGGTAGCGGACATGTTTTTGTTTTTTTTTGTTTATACAAACACCTAAATATCCTGTGGAAGTTTTACGCAATCAATATGGACGACAATATGATGGAAGAAGAAATATCAGATGAATTAGAAGATGCATGTGCTTTATGAACAACAGCGATGGATCCTGACAGCTGATTTCCCCTGATACTGTTTAACCTCTGAATTAAGAAATCAAGGAAGGAGAAAGCCCTTTATAATCTATACAAAGTATGTCCGAATATGATTGCATTTTTCGACCTTGCAGGAAAGATTGGTCACATGGATAAAAGCATTTTATTTCCACTACTATCTGGGCCTAATGTTTGTAATGTTTGATGGGGGAACAAGAAGAACAAGTCGATGTTAGACACCCTTGTTGGAGCAAGATGTGCTTTTGGACCTCCTAAGTGAAGGTTAAAACCTATTGTGATTATTCATAATCAGCATTGTGTGGGTTAAAGAATTTTTTTATATTATGATGATTATTATTATATAAAAACCCTCTGGCAAATAATTGAATAACAGGGTAATGCATCAATTAAAATTACGATAGATTAGCTTAATTAAAATGTCTATAAAGGTAAATATTTAAATTCTATACTATTATATTTACATATACTATATTCTCACAGTCACCGACATTGCTTGAAAGACAGTTGTAATGTCTTAGTAGCGGAAAAGGATGAAGTTTTCACACCGTCTTGTTTTAGTTACTTTATGTGATGCTCTTGAATTTCCCGATCTCAGGCTGTAACTGACATCATCTATTCCAATAAGTAAATTGATAATCAATGGTAGACATTACACGGACAAACAAAGCATATGTGACCAACTAAACAATTATTACATAAATGTTGGTCATAACTTGGCAGCGCAACTTCCCGAACATGATAACTTGAACCCAACTCGCTACATCGAAAATAATAATTACAATAGTTTCATGTTCGGCAACATAAACATTTATGAAGTCCAAGATGCAATTATGGCACTAAAACTAAATAAAGCTTCAATTGGTGTACCACAAAAATGTATGATGTTAGCATGTAATCACGTTAGTGAAGTGTTGATGATGATATTTAATCAATCATTAATACAAGGTATAGTTCCAGATATTTTAAAAATTTCTAAAGTAATACCAGTGTATAAGGGTGGCGAGACTGTGGATCCAAATAATTATCATCCTATTTCGGTGATAAACACATTTGCAAAAATATTTGAAAAACTGGTATACAAACAGCTAATCAGCTACGTCGAAAAATATAAAATTCTCTTTGAATTTCAATATGGTTTTAGAAAAGGAAAATCAACAACTTTGTCAATAATTGAGATAACTGAGAACTTAAAAAAGGCAGTTGACGATAATGTATTCACTTGTGGGGTGTTTCTAGACTTTTCCAAAGCATTTGATACAGTAAATCATGAAATTTTAATTACAAAAATGGAGAAGTGGTTTACCAATTACTTCTATCCTCTCAAGTGGTTTACCAATTACTTAACAAACCGTCAACAATACGTCTCAATACAAAACGTTATATCGTCTAAAAAAATAATCAAATGTGGGATACCTCAAGGTAGTACCCTTGGTCCTTTATTATTCCTAATATATATTGATCTTCCAAATTGTACCAAAAATTTGAATTTTAGGATTTTTGCAGATGACACAAATATTTTTGCTTCATCAAATAATGGTGCTGAGTTAGAAAAACTAATAAATTCTGAAATGGATGAAGTAAAGAGATGGTGTGACATCAATAAATTATCAATTAATTTTAAGAAAACAAACTTTATGATTGTTAAATCACCATATAAAAGACAATTAAACATAATGATAAAATTGCAAGGTAAAAATAACTCAATCCATGTGACCGAAAGGAAAAACTATATAAAGTATTTAGGTGTATTCATTGATAGCACTTTATCATGGAAAAACCATGTATCTTATATTTGCTCGCGCCTAGCAAAATGTACTGGTATAATTACTAAATTAAGGCATTATCTTTCTCTGAATCAACTTAAGCAAATTTACTATACTCTTTGTTACCCTTTTATATATCCTATGCAATTTTAGCATGGGGTAATACATATTTTTCACATCTTAATAAACTACAAACGAAACAAAATAGAATAGTTTAGGCTAATGTTTTTTGCCAAAGTATATGGTAAGAACACTGAAAGTGCTCTGCCATTACTGAATCTGCTAAACTTTTTGTCAGTTGATAATGTATTCAAACTTCATGCTCTTCAATTTGCTCAATTATGGCATACAAACCAGTTGCCATCTAGTTTTGACAACTGGTTTAAATTTGTAACCGATGTGCATTCTTACAATACAAGGTATGCACAAAACCAAAACTTTTATAAACCACTTGTAAAAACAAATATTGGAAAGAAAACCATTTCGTTTGCTGTATGTAGTATTTGGCAAAATATTCCATCATCGTTTAAGTTCCTGAATGCTTTCTCCTTCTCAAAAAAAGTTAAAGAATATATATTATTCGAACAATATGAAAGTTAAATGATTATTCCTTTAAGGTGGCTCCCTAGGGTTTTATTTTGGGGGGTTACGTTCTTCGTATATATGTAAACTAAAACTCGTGTGACTTCAAAATACGAACGAACGTTGTGTTTTATATGGAACTCATTTTTGAAACAAAAGTGTGAACTTTGCTTTAGTTGAAAGCATAAAAGAGTTCTAAAAGCCAAAACGATACTTGGATGTGATGTTTCAAAAGAAGATAATGTAATTTTTTTTTTCAAGCGGTATTCTGGATGTTTTTTGAACCGCCGTACGCGAGGTTCGATCGCAAACATTGGTATATGATATAAAGTTTCCTCAAGAATTTGCAGTGTTTTCTCCACAATCTAGCAGCACTTATGACAATAAAGATGACTTAAATAATGAGCCCTCTACGGGTGAAATGAGCAGGGCCGAAACTCCAAAGATACCGCTATAAAAACTGAAATTTGAACGGGCATTTTGCGAAAACATCCGACGATAGTACTATTACTCGCACGGGACGAATTTTGACAAACATTTTTCAAATTAATACCAAGAAGTCATAACCAGTAATTACCTAAATATTTTTGCCATTTTTACATGTATAATCCACGCTTAGTTGACCATTAACCGACACAGTTATAAACAGTATATCGAACATAATTTATATTTTGTGATTTCAAAAAAGTCATGCTTTGTTGTTTTATGCAGAATGCATGTACACGTCAGTTGGGGTATTAAATTGTTCGCGTAAAAATCTAGTAAAAATTGCCAAAATTAAACCCAAATTTCTCCGTTTTCCTTCGGTAAAATTTTTTAAAACTTTGCACATTTTTTAATATCGGTACAACAAGTGCAACATCTTTTTTTCTTAAAATTAAATCGAAGGGAAAATTTTTAATATTGATTTTTGGACTTTTTTAAAATTTTCTAAGAAACGTATCGATTTAATTTTTTTAAATTGAGGGAAAAAAATCATTATACAAGTATTATCTTTTATGTAAAGTTTTAAAAAAATTCACCGAAGGAACTTTTTAAAATGACCTGAAAAAGACAAATTTTGAGCTTTATTCTAAGCATGCTGTTGCCATGACAACATATTTTTAACACAAAAGTAGCAATTTGCAATGTTCAGGAGAACATTGTCAATGTGTCCAATAAATTTCGTTTTCATGTCATGTAAAGTAAAGAAACAGGAGTCTTCTGAATACTATAGTGTAGTAAATTAAAAAACCCTAGGGAGCCACCTTAAATTTTATCTCCAATTTTCCTTAATTTTCCTTATCTCTTTGATAACGAATCATCGGAACACTGCAGAATCGTGACGACATAGTTCATTGTATTAAATGCCAACTTGTAATGGATTGATGGCTGACATGATAACCTTATGGTTAATTTAGCCACCAATTGATTTTATTTATGAATAATATTTATTAATTGCTCATCATATATATATATATTACCTTTGTAAAGATTTATTATTGTAATTAAGGAGTGTTGTTGTTGTTGTTATAACGGTTAAATATTCCTAATAAATATTCAAAATATATAGGCCACTCTGAGATTGTATGTTTTCAGTTGTTACGTGAGGAAAGGTTACGGGAAGAAAATGAGAGGGAGCAAGAGGAAGGAGAAAACAAAGAGATTTCTCAGTTGTTACGTGAGGAAAAGTTACGGGAAGAAAGTGAGAGGGAGCAAGAGGTCTTGTCATGTTCAGGGAGCAAGAGGAAGGAGAAAACAAAGAGATTTTTAATGTACTAATGGACTGTTCGATTTTGACTTTAAACTAACAACTAACAACTGTATTCATTCCTACAACACAAGATCCTGCAACAACCTTCATCTTCCAAAAGCCAACACGAACTGGGGTAAACTTAGACAGACTTACTACGCTTCGATGGACTTCAACAATTTGAACAGCTCAGTTGCAAATGTTAGTTCTCCGTCTCAATTTAAGACTCAATCTACTTCGTACTTAGACACAGTTATTTGCATGCTTGATATATTTTAAATATATGTGTACAGTTTAGTTCGGGTATGCACCGTGTCTTTACGCTTTATTTAATTTTGAGCATTATTATTATAACTTCTGATTCTCTTCGATTGATTCTTTCCTATCATTTGAGGCACGTTGCATGCTTACTGACTAAATTAAATTTCATTTTTATGAATTATAAGTTAATGGTCTATTTATCATCATTGTAACGTGCATGTATATATTTGTATATTTTTGTACAATTTAAATATTGACAATAATTAATATTGTAAATAATTGTAATTTTGATGCAGGACCCCACTGAAAAACATGTAAGTGATATGGGTATCCTTGATAAATATAATTATTATTATTGGGCTACCCTGGGTACCAGAACCTCTTATGAAGTGAGGACACAACGAGGAGGCTCTGGTAACACAAGCAACCAGCCTCACTTTGGTATTTACTACAGATATGACATCAGAGAAAAACCGGTTTTCTAATTTCTAGTGTTGACATGATGGCACCACTATAAACCATGATGGCTTGTGTCAGAAAAGCGATCGAGCATAAACTATATTAAATATGTCTATGGAAAACACCCCAGTAAAAAAGTTATTAATAAGCAAAATAATAACATAAACCACTTCTGTCGAATTTGTGGTATCAATATACCTATTTCTGGCAGAGAGAAGCTAAACATTTTCAAAGGTGCCAAATCAGTTTGGGATAAACTTGCTGAAAGGTTGTTGTGCATTCTCCAAACTTCTGTGTCGAAGGATGGAACGTCTTCTACAATATGTTTGAACTGCAAGAGGAACCTCGAAAGGTTGGAAAAGGCAGCAGCCGATCTTGTTAGATTTAAATAAATGCCTAAGAGAACTGCTAAAGAGCAAAGAACATTTATAGTAAATGACAAAGAGAACTCTGGTGAATGCTTTAAAAGGTGCAAGGGTTTAGATTCTCCCATAGATGTCCCGAAAAGGTCTTTTATTTAAAAAAAAATCCATACAATTTGCCTTAAAATGCATTGCTTTGACATGCAATGCTTCAATGTACAGTAAAACCTCTATAATTTGTATTACATGAAGTACGTGCAACATCACAATAGTGTTGTGTCATTATGTAATATATATCCCCAAGGTTGGCAACTAAATACAAATTTAAAACTGTATACACAAATTTAATGACGAAAAAACTCGTACATAAACATAGAAATTCATTAAAAAACTAACTCACTATGGTAAGAAATAACTATAATCTACATTGTTTTTTCTTCTCTCGTCACTTTTAAACGAGTTAATTTTGCGAAAATTCAGAGGAAAATGGCTCAATTTGGTCAAAACTATGCGGGATGACTGCTCTCGGCATTACGTCACAAAATAAAGCTCTCTGATTTGCTGAAAATGTTTAAAATTTCAAAAAACTCTCCGATTGGCTGGCTGAAATTTCCCAGCGAATCAGAGAGCTTTATTTTGTGACGTACCGCCGGGAGCCATCATCCTGCATAGTTTTGATCAAATTGAGTTACGAATTTGATGAATTTTCCTTGGAATTTTCGCAAAATTAACTTGTTTAAAAATGATGAGAAGAAAAAAACACAACGTAGAAGTATTACAGTTATTTCTTACCATAGTGAGTTAGGTTTTTTAATGAATTTCGATGTTTATGTACGAGTTTTTTCGTCATTAAATTTGTGTATACAGTTTTAAATTTGTATTTAGTTGCCAACCTTGGGGATATATATTACATAATGACACAACACTATTGTGATGTTGCATGTACTTCATGTAATACAAATTATAGAGGTTTTACTGTACATTGAAGCATTGCATGTCAAAGCATTGCATTTTAAAGCAAACTGTATGGATTTTTTTTAAAAATAAAAGACCTTTTCGGGAGACCTATGATTCTCCAAAAAATGAAAAGCCTGTGAAAAGAAAAGCATGTGAAACAGAAGTTCGAAGAAATATTTTACAGCCAACGCCTATGTTTTTAACAGAACTTCCGAGTCTATAATTTACCTGTAAAAACTCTCAAAAGAGCTATAGTATAAAAGTAAAGTTGTACATTGTACAATACTTGAACAAATTTTAAATATTGAGCTTTTGTTTATAATGTAGGTGACAATAGACTATCTGTCTACACAGAAGCACAAAACTATAACTGAAGAGTTAGATGCCAAGATCATAAGGTGTAGCTAACAATGAACGTGTTTCCATTGCAAATGCCGTATGGGACTCAAGAGATCTTAAAGACATGATCATGTGTAAAATTGAGAAGGATGTTGCCAATGAATTTAAAGGACTTTGCAGTAGAAAAAAACCCATCCATTCTGGCCAATTCTACACCTCATAATGTCATAAACATTACAGATGCTTGCATCGCTTCTGAACTAAAGAATCGTGCACCTACTATGGAAAGAATTCTTCGCGCTGCCGTCTCAGGCAAAGTTAAACACACCGTTGAAGAAGAATATAATGAGAAGGATAAAAAAAATGTGAGGGCTTTAAGCATGGCAACTTCTATATTATTAAGATGCCGAAACCCTGCACTTTCAGCACTAAGTTACCGGTTGTCCTTATTGTTGTGGCATGGAGGTGCTGAGAAACAGGTACTTTATTTTCTTTATATTTGTATTGCAAACAAACAAGCGAAACATGCAGTTTGCATTTCTTAAACATGAGCAAGTAGAATAGTACTCACTTATCACATAATTTTACGAGGTGACAGTTAGGCAACTTTATTCAGACGGTTCAGTGTTTTCATCTGGTTTACTCTATCAACGTTTCTGTGATTACAGTAGGAATTTTGTATGTGAAATTGTAAGAAACATATGAAGCGACTAGGCAAGTGTTTTAACAATGAATCAGTTATTTATCTATATTATTTACCTATGCAAAATTCCTATTGAGTATTGTTATCACAAAAACTTTAATAGAGTTTAACTAGCCTTTACTGATTTCTGAGACGTTCAAATGGCTTCAACACTGTCTAATTGACCATGCTGAAAGTGTTTGATCAAAGAACTATATTGAATGAATGTTTGAAAGTGTTTAGTTGAAAGTGTTTAGTTTATTAACACCATAAGTCCCATATTAAAATGGTGATAAACATGGGAGAGGTTTCCCCATAAGGGGTTCCCCTGGCGGATTTCCTTACTCTTCCTGGTGATTAATTTAAAATTTATACAGCCCTAATGGTAGCCATTAACAGATGCTTAATTGATGCCAGCCATATTAACACAGTACTACTGCTTTATAGCTATTCAAAAGACTGAATAGGTGGGGAATTTCAATGAGTCATTGGAGAACTTTTTAAAGAAGGTTGATGAATTTGGCTTGAATTTTGATGAGCAAATTAAGACATGGAAACAAATTCTTGAGCAAGGCCACAACCTTGATTCGAATCAGCTGTTAGATTCATCCAGAGTATCAATAAAGAAGAGCTTGTTCCAACAAGCCTTGTTGGTCCACCAATTATCACAACTGAATCTGTCAGTGATAGTCAAATAGCTAATCCTTCATTTCAAACTGAGTCACTACATAAAAAGTATGGTATTGATGAGAACATATTAAAAGAGAAACTTAATAAAGCTAAAGGTGCAGTTGAAGGAAGAATCAACGAGGCTATCATCGACGAAGTCATGGATAAACTTAGGAACTTGTGTAATTCACATGCTTCATACGAAGAAAACCTAAAATATACTCAGATGAAAATTGAATTGTCTCATGCCCCTGGGTATCAACTGACTGGAGACAATGTGGACTTGTATGTTAAGGTGAAGCACATGTCAAGCACAAATCAGAATTCCAGTATACATTGGTTTAACATAAATGCTGTCTTCAACAGAATGAATAATAATCAGCTGAACAATAACACCAATCATGTCCGTTCTTGAAATGGAGATTCATCCTTCAGGATTTTATTCCTCTTGTAAGTCGTGTTCTGGTAACCAATATTTCTGCATTGCAACAATTTAAGAAATCAGTTGTTTGGCATATACCACACAAGTATACTAATGAGATGAAGCAGAAATCTACCCAGGTGTAATATATAGTATATGTATATTATATTTTTTTTCAGTGATATATAGACACTCATGTTACATTCTGAACAAAATTACCAGAGTAATTTTCATCTGGTATAGTAAGTAATATTATTTTTTTACTGGCAAATTTGTGCATACAAGTAAAAATAGTAGTGGGCTGCTGATTCACAGTAAAAATTGAGCACATATTTATAACGTGGTAATTTTGGTGACGGTAAATTGTTGTGTGACTCATGTTACCACAAAGTGACATGAGCTAACACCAAACTAACAACTTTTGAATTTCTTCGGAAACCACAAATGGAGAAACATACAAATGTCTATCAAGTAACTGACAATATGTTAGGCAAACCATAAAAAAAATTATTATATTTTGGATTACAACTGTAAGGATAGCTAAATAATACATGTGACTCATGTTACATATATGGTTCATCTTAATAGTTCAGTTCAGAATTGTTTCCACTAGATTCTGAAACATTAACACCAACACCTGAGACAACCTAAGTGTATCGTCTAACTTTATACTTGGAAAAACAACAGATTACAGTATATCAACTTATATATAAAACAATCATGTTATTGTACAGAATATGTACCGGTATATAACCTAACTAGCCACGGCAATAAGTGTTTAAAAATCTGAAAATTGAAAGTTTCCACGGGAATTAACAACTACTGGTGCGTTTAACTTTCGTACAAACTTATCTTGTTGGTAAAAGATCTCATCAAGAATTGTCGGCAACTTCCAGTATTTCCCGGCTCTCACCATCACCGACACCTGGATATCATCAGCTGTAACAGATTTTACTTCTCCAGGATATATTTTTCCCTCGTACTCCACAGTATACCAATCACCAACCTCAATCTGACAAAGTTCCTCATTTACACTGGCATTACTCCCTTCGTCACCACATCGAGGCGTGTCAGTTTCTTCCTCCACCAAGGCACGCCCAACAATCTTCCCCGCATTGCCAATCTTGATCGAATGGATTGCAGCAATGCCTGGGATTGGGCTTGCATCTTCAAACACTTCTTTAGTATTCAGAGATGTGTTGCTTTCCTCGATCTCTGATGCAGCCATCTCAACAACCTTCACATTGGAGGAATCTTCGGCTGCAACGACAAAGCTCTTAGCATCACAGACAATGTGTTTTCTCGTCTTCACAGTTATCCACACCTGACGCTTGACTGCCCCACCAATGCCATCGACTGGTCCCTTCCCATGTGAAGTTGCAAAATAGTTCCATGTAATCTGGATCTTGTGCTTATCTTGGAGAGACTTTAGTGCAGCTACTATAAACCGGTTCTTGAACTGGGACAATGGGCCATCGGACCAGATGGAAATGTTTTGGGTGTTGGTAGAATAGATAGCAGATAATCAATGTACGCCACTATTGTATCCTTGGAGTGATTCAGATTGTCCGATGCTATGACAATGGGGTGTAGGATACCAGAATACCATAACGCAGCAGTAAACAAACTAACTTGACTTTGCTTCCAATGGGCACTCTGAATTTCATCTTGGGAAACACAAGTGTAATTCTCAGAGAAGTCCACTTGAAGAAAAGCAGCATTCGAAAGCGATTCTGAATCTGCTTCTGCATCCTTTCGCTCTTTGTTATAGGCTTCTGCCTGCATTCTTTTTGTGAAGCAGTGTGCCATGAAATGGGGGATAATTGAGCATATATGGGTATACAGCTCCTCGGTGGTGCCCTCCTCTACATTTTTCACAAGTTTATTACTACTGTCTGTCTTCCAGACATACCACTTGACATCACCATTTTCTTCTAGTGGATAAGAATTACGAAAACCCTTACCATCTTTGCACTGTTCACATTGGTTCATCCAGCACTCTCTCTTCACAGGGTTGCAGAGGCATGATTGTGGGAACTCGTTTGTGTAAAGTGGTACACTTGGTGAGACTTGATGTAATATATTTACAGCATTTATAAAGTTCTCATGGTATTTACACAAGCATACACTGTGGGGTAGTTTGCTACTCAGTAAAACATGTTTTGGTCTAAGTTCGGCAAATTTACTTTTTCCAATTTTGTTGGGATACTCTTTGCAGAAAAGAGCATAAGTCTCCATGACCGAGGAGGTGAGATGACGAGTTTGATAAGAAACCTTTTGCCCATTCTTGTCTCGGACATTAATTACATCTTTTCTACCAGGTGTCTGTCAGCTAATGTCATCTCTTTGGTAGAAAGTTTGTACTAGTTCAACTAGTTCATCGCTCAAAGCATCGGATCTTTTTGGTGAGTCGGTTGAGGATGATATACTACTGCCATCTAATTCACTTTCATATAGTTTTCGGTGGACTGCTTTTCGTCTTCTTGGAGACTTCGGTAGGGCATTCTTGAGTGCTCTTTTAGCTGTTGCTCTAGAGAAAGCGACTGCACTTACGAATGGTGGCGTCACAACACTTTCTTTTTCCTTTTCTTTTTTTAATGCCTTGCATTTGGCCACACGTTTCCTGGTAGCTTCTCTCTGCTCTCTTTGAAAGATTTCTCTCCTTTGTTGAGATAAATTCTCCAACATATCTTTCTTTTTATCACGGCTTTTCTGGGCAATTTCACGATGATGACTTTTGTATTCCTCATACTTTCCTTGTTGTTTCAATTTTTCACGTCTTCTCCTTTGCCTCTCAGCCGCAGTAAGCGCCATTTTGTTTGTACAAAAACTATGACAAAGCAAATCGAATCATAAATTGAAGTGAACTTTTAAACCATATATTTTCAAAATAATTTATCACAGCCTTAAGAACGAACAATGTAATTTAACAACATAAATATCTAACCTTAAAATCAACGGTAATAACTCGTGAAAGAGCAATATTTATGTCGGATTGCAATGGATTAATCTTCTCTTTTTTTTCACCTTTCCACCATTTAAAGCCGCCAGAAAACAACATGGATACAATATAAGTGCCCACAAACTGTCTGAGTAGTATCACTAGATTAGGAACTACTTCATGTAAGCACTTTTTACTTTTCATTTCTGCCTAAGTCTACTTTTCTAAATTTGTGACTCACGTTACATTGTGTAATCAATGTACACGTGACTCACGTTACCAATATTTGGAATGCTCTCATAGAGCATCGATTAAGCTAACATGCATAAAATTGATATTTATAGTTAAGCTATCACTAGAAGAAAGAAAATAATGAACAAGAGCTGTTAACTCGCCATGTATTGTTCGCAAAATTAAAAAATTGGTGTTTTTGTGACTCACATTACATGCCATATAACCTCAAATTTAAAGAACCATACTATGCAATAGAAAAATATTTAGAGAATATGTTTTTTTAATGGAATAGTTAATGACTGTGGTGGTTGTTTGCCACTGATTTGTAGTAAAAATATGTTAAGCTTACCTTCAAAGATTAGAAGTTAACTTACCCTAATTAGCGATGTCATTGCAACATTTAAGTAACACACATATGAACATTGCATATAACTGTAATCTAGCTGCAATATTTTGTCAAATTTACTTTAATATTACCCCTGAATATGTATACTATCAAAATAAAGCTTTATTTTAAAATTATTAAGAACTTTTTTTCTTCAAAAAATGTCATCACTACCATGGAATTACCCTCCAGGGTGTGATAATTCACGATTTTTAGTCATACCTCACTGGTACGCCAATGATTATTGCTGCTTACTAATGAGCTACATGCATGATTAAAACTCAAGATGTGAGTTAGTCTTTAAAATGAAGTACACAAAGTACAGGTTTTTGAAATGTATTCATTCAGCAACCTGAAAAATAATAACAAGTAGTGCAATTCCATATATACAAATACTACAATCGACTCAATCTAACATTGCTTAGTCCAGTCATGTTTCATGCCAAGACATGTCAGTCATGCACTGACTTTATTACGGTTTTCAATACATTGGGTTTGGAAAATCGTATGGCACCAACAAAAAGTAAGTACGCAGATAGCAAGAGTTCTGCATACCTACATGGTACTTGGCTAACAAATATGTACCAGACCGTAATGTTGGTGTACCTCTGGTACGTATGTGAATTATCGCACCCTGGTTACTCAGGTTACTGCATCAGTTGCAGCTATGAACTTGGCATTTACATATATGCCAAGATTTGCATTATTAATCTTCTGTTCATTAATGTCATGTTGTAGGTACCTGTTGGACTATTATTTAAGAATGAGAACATAAATGAAGAAATGATAGACATTCTTCAAACAATTCACAACAAATATCTACCTGTAAGCACCCGTACGAAAAGTTACAGCCTGACTGAGCAAGATTCTGGCCAGAATCTGGCCATAAACCAATTAAAGCAGCAGAAATTGAGCGAGACGCAACCAGACATTGGTTTTGTCTCGCTGCCCGTTATGAATGAGACATTTGTATCACCTGTTTATGGCTGCAAATTTGGCTTGAATGAGCATAACATCGCAAGACAAATTGTCTTGCTCAAACGAGACAATTGTCACGCTGCTTTTACAGCGAAACATGGACGATAATATAGTGAGGCAGAGCGAGACAAGCAACAGAAATTCCTTTGCTTGCCATGAAATTGTGAGATTATTATCATATCTGGCAAAAATTGAAAGAAACTGAGCATGACAAGAGTATTATGTTAAAAATTTAATTTGTTGTGTCTCAGATGACAAGGCGCGCAATTTGAGTTGGTTTTATTTTTCTGTACACACGCATCGCTTTCAAGCAGCGAACCATACATGGTCGGTCGAACAAGGGAAAAGTTGCGGATTTTCAACAATGATCATCATTATATTTTGTGCTACATTCTCAGTAATTCTTCAGCCAGGCGAAGTTAAAGTCAAGTGATAGTCTCCCTCGCAAAGTTTCTGTGCGACTTTGAGATTCAAGGCATTGGCAATATATGCAATGGAGACAGTCTTCAAAGTTTCTTCTAAATGTAAGTAATTAATCTCAACGGTTACCTGTTCTGTACAGAGTTTTGCGTGTGATACCGCAATACATAATTTACTTTAAATGTAATATTATTACGCTTTCAAAACCATGCATGCATTGCGAACAATATTTTTATTGGCATAAAAACTTTAGATAGAAAAGCCTACAAAATATTCAAGGCCGAAATAAATCTGATTTTCATATTTGTCACGATGCAATGGTGAAATTAAGTCTGAAGCTGCAGCCCGAATAGTGACTCAGGCCTAGCTTTCAACCTGTTGTCTTTTTTAGCCACCACTTGGCGCTTGCGGACAAGTCGCTCGCACGAGTCGCTCGCGACGGCCATCTCAAAGCCACAGCTATAAATATTTTTGCTCATATAAATGGGCCTTTTTTTATTATTATAAAGCTTTATTTGCATGACCTAATTAACAGGTATTGCTAGGCGTAGATTATAACTATTAAAAAATATAGTAAGAAGCTATTTACAAATAGAAAAACAGTATATAATTTAAAGATGTTTTTTTTTGTTTATTTTGTTTTATTATTTATCTAAGGGATTTTTAGTGTAATTGTTATCCCTAATCTTATATCAATGTTGATATATACATTTTAATATGAGCTGGCCTTCATAACGATATGTCTGTTAGTTAAAACAAGTCTATAAGGCTTTTAGTAAGCAAAAGCTCGTTGCAATTGTGTGATGTTCTTTCAATCGAGTGGAGTTATCTTGAAATATAAAAGTAATTTAATCGTCGTTGATGGAACAACAAAATATGCATGAAATACTTTATACTTGAACAAAAGCTAACTTTACAAACAAATGCATTTTACCCAAAAGTTTGAAGTGTAAACTAGTCAATGATTTTTAATTTACTAATTTTTAAAAAACTTACTTTGTATCTTTGAGCTGATTTAATAGCAGTGCATGCTATCTTGGTATGTGTGTACTGATATGTGTTATTTTACTTGTCTGCATAAATGTGATTGCGTTTCTTAATTTCCGGCCTAAGTGTGAGCCATAATACAGCCAAAATCAGGCCAGACAAAATTATGGCCTGACAAATGTATGGCCCAGTACCAGTGAAATTTGGTTGAAAATGTCCCGTTTGAGGGCGTGTATCGCTGGTGTATCATCACGCTCATTATCGCTCGTGTCTCGCTCAAAAATGTCACATTTGAGACACGCTGTGCATCTCTGGTGTATCATCACACTCATTACCGCTCATGTCTCACCCAATGTCCCGCTCGAAAATGTCATGTTCGAGACGTGCAGTGTATCGCTGTGTATCCTCACGCTCAGTATCGCTCAATTTTATGGCCCGAATATCACTCATGTCACGCCATGATTTTCGGTACAGGCAATACCATTCAAAATAAAGAAGAAAGAACCATTGTTAATGAGCTGCTGTTCTTTGGTGGAGATCAGCTGACTGATGAAAGGGGTCGAAATTGCATAGATGCAATGTCTGACGTTGATACAAATTTTGAACGCCTGGAAGGTTTTCTATCAAAGGGGGAAGATTGGCATGCCATACGAATTCTTTACCAGGTATATATAAGAGACCATTCATTATTTGACTGGGGTGGGCTGGAAAAATTCAATTAACAGTTACAACAAAATGTCCTGCCCCTCCTCATCACAAAACATTAAATGACCCCATTCACATTAATTGTAAAAAAATTCCCCTGACGAGTAAAATTGTTACTTAATTATAAACACAATGATAATAACACAAGTTGTTGCTCTTTTCACAAAATGTTATATGCTGTAATTATATAGTCACCAGGACCCAGCTGGTAGTATTACATAGGCAAATTTAATATGTACAATATTATTGCTTCTCTGTTTAGATTCTATAAGACATATTCTTCAATACAAATACAGGAAATAATGTGGGTACAACATGCTCAAACCTTAATGTCATTAACAACTCAAATGCAAAGACTAAAAATGTCCTTGATAATTTCAACCACTGCAAGGAATACATAAACCTGGAGACTAACACATTCATTCTAGCTGCAGCAATGACACACTTTAGGGGGCTTTCATTTATTAGAGAATAGGGGGAGTTGGCAAAATTTAAAGGTAGATTTGTAATTTTTTGCAACCCCCCCCTCCATTCTATGTCAAAATTGAGTAACCCCCCCCCCCATACCATATCTAAACTTTTATTAACAACTCCACCTCCCCCCCCCAACTTGAAATAAGAAACACCGTGAACTTTTCAAATAGCATGAACTTTGAACTACTATTTTATATATACAACATATTTAAAACTTTTAAAATGAAATATATTAAAACATGGATTGTTAAATTTAAATCTGAACTTTAATAAACATGCAATGTAGCATTGGTTTCATACTATTTAATAATAAAATCAATGAGATATGTCACTTCAGATGTCATTTACGTCGTCGTCGTCGTCGTCGTCGTCGTCGTCGTCATCATCAGAGATGACAGCCCCAGTATAGTCACAGAGCCACCCCTCTAGTTTTTGTCTCAAAACATTTCTTGCCCCTTGATCCAAATCATCATTTTCTAAAATGTATTTCAGTCCATGCAAGTGATGTTTTATTTTTAATTTATTCAATTCGATACTGTTGATATCATTATTGGTCCACTGCAAAGAATCAGATATTTTCACATGTTGTCGAATTTGTTTGGCACTTTTCACTGCTCTTTTGTGTTTTGCAACTCTGGCCTTGTGTTTTCCCTCCTTTTTCTTTCTACTGTTAGTTGATTTCGACCTACTTTGCACTGTAAGCACAAAGACTTTCCTCAAATGTGCCAAAGTGGCCTCCAGTTTTTGCAAATTCACTCCCACTTTCTCATCTAGCAACCTGAGGTTCTGCAAATGGCTTTGATAATTGGAAATTTGTTCGTTCATATTTTTTTTGGCCTTCATATCAGAACCAAAACAGTTGCCAAGTAAGCCTTTGCTCTCCGTTATTTCCTTTTCAATTTCATCTTTCAAACGTTTTGTATTACAAATTCCCTTTTCACAGTGATCTACATGGGTCAGACGAGGAATAGCTGGTTTGTCAAGAAAATTGAAATAACCACCTGAGTATTCAGAATTGAACATAGCATTAAACTTGCCTGAAAACTTCTCGAAAGTTTGTAGTCGTTGCCACCTGGCTTCTCGTTCTTTTCTTATATAGCTAGCCTGTTGATGTGCAGACAAAAATTTTCCGTAATTGTCATAAAGTTTTGGAGTGATTTCGTTAAAAAACTTTGTTTTTGGCCACTTTGGATTCCTGTACATGTACTCGTCATAGGGTTTTCTCACCTTTGTGTCCGGTGTTGTTTTCGGTTTGGAAGTCTGACCAAAGTTGAGGGTAGATTGCTTTTGTTTTGCTGGGTTTGATTTTGGCAGCCCTGTCCTACTGCTTCCGTAGCATTTTGTAATGCTCTCAGTTTGGAAATACAATCTAGTAAATCGAGTTGGTCACCAAAGCTGTCAATCCCAATTCGAGCAAGCAGAAGCAAAGCCTCTGCAGTGTGTTGATTTTGTTCCTACAGAAATTTTCACGAAACTGGGAAAACCTGTTATCTTCCAACCACTTCAAAAATTCTATTTGCTCCGGCGGAACAGAATTCTCATTGTCCGCCATATTGAATATTCATTATATGAGCACAAAGAAGTAAAATTCCTTCCTCATTTGGTAAAAATTTCCTTTTTATCGAAAAATGTCTTTCAGAATTTCGGGCAAAATCCTTGGTTGTTAATATCGTTCGTGCATGACTATGTATTTTTCCTTCATTTTGATCCTAATCCCAACCCTATTATAAACCTTTTGTGCGCGAAGAATACGATACGAATATAATCAAACTTAATTTCTATCCCATATCTCAGAATGCCAAGATTTCCTTCACCGAGGAATTTTTCGTGTGTACACGTGACTTGATTGGGAGCATTAAAGTTTTTGAATATTTTACACTTTGAAAACAATTAAAATTTGGATATATTAAAAATGGCAAACAGCGTACAAACAATAGGTCACAAGCTCGGAAGGTCAGAGACAAGGAAATATTCTACCCATCCAGACGATCCTGAATTAAAAGTATCTCTCTGTCCTTGCAATGATCCTTTTGTAAACCTGGAAAGGCTAAATTCGTTTGAATATGAGTGGACAAGGAAAGAAAGAAGTACGCGACCTGAATATAAACTACAAAGATTGCTGGGATTGAGGGACGTACTTAATCATCTCCTGATGCCAAGAGGAAACTTCCCAGATTACTTGGAAGCAGACAAAGAAACTCGATTTGCTGTTATAGGTTTCTTGACATTTAAGGATGCCTTTCAATTATACTCTTCGCAAATATTATTTGAACAAGTTGATGAAAGTAGATTCACTCTTGACATCCTGGATGAACAGATCGGACTTTCAGTGAACATTGTCAAGATAGTAAATGTTAGATACATAGTTCTTAAGAACATAGTAGATTTACCAGGTTTACTGATTCATAGTAAACAACTTCAGGAACAAAGATTCCATTTAGGCAAGAACACTCTGAAACAGATTACACGAACTATGGACACAGAGTACGATCGCAACATTGCAAAATGGATCTTTTCTGTGAATATGTCCCATTCACAAATGAGAAAGGCGGGTGTCGACCCACAAAAGGTTGTACGACAAACAGATAAGAATTTAAAGATTATAGAAGAATGTGAAAGTGCAGTTGTTGAAGCCCAAACTAAGGTAGAGCAAAAGCTAAAAGAGAAAACAAAGTGCATTCAAGAGAAAGTAGAAGAACGACAGAATCAAGTCAATAAACGAAAACGCACTTGGGATCAAACTGTTCTTGACGAGCTTGAAGATGAGATTGAAGATCTCCAAAACCATAAAGCAAAGTTGGAAGACGAACTTAAAAGCCCTGATTCAACTAGCTTTAAGTTAAAAGTTATTAGAGAAGCAAAGAATATAAATGAGAAGAAGCGAATTAAAAGGAGAAAGCTGGGGCAAGGGAGACCTAATGCCATAGATGAAGATGAAGAGACCTTTGTAGCAAGATGTATTGAATCAAAAGCCACATATCATGGTCGAAGGAAGGAGACAACAATGTTCATTAATAGAAGAGTAAAGTGCAAAAACCTGCTTAAAATACTTAATAAACGGAGAGCAGACAAAGGCAAAGCCCCTCTACGGAGTACCACTGCAATATGGAATCGGTCAAAACCAAGACGGCTTGGAACCATCCAGGCTTCAAGACATGTAGGAAAGGGTCTGTGGAGCTGCAAAAAGCCCCCAAAAGCAGAGGATTTGGACAACGAAAACACCCACCATCAACGTTCTCATATAAAAAAATATGAAAAGATTTCTCTTCTCTTCAAAAGTCCCAGAAAATGCTCAAAAGTTTGCGATTATTGAAAGCCGAGATGACCATGCCTTTCTTCGTCCAGGAACTTCTGTTGGATTCGAAGGGTCACGGACGCAAAAGATTTTGACCCCGGTTGCGAAGGAAAACGCGCGGGTTTTACCAAAATACGATTTTCCCGAGTCAAAGATGTACTGTGCACCAGGGGCTCACAGAATGTTTACGATGAAAAGCGTCACAGTTGATGAAAAGGAAAAGTTGGTTATTGACTCTGATGAGCATTATGTATTTTGCAGACCAAAGCATTATGTTGATTCATCGGGTACTACGTGGGCAAACGAGGAAATGGAATTGAGGCATACCACCGATATCTACCATGCAAGTGACAGCAAATACTCTTCTGAATTCACCACGCTGTGTAAAAGGTTAAGAGATGATTGTTTCTATTACTTAGACACAAATGTAGCTGAAGATTTCAAAAGAAGTGGCGACAACGAAGAATACACCATCTACGAAGAAAAGAGAGTAGCCCACTTAAAGCGCAGGGTAGAGCTGGCATTGGAACAATACGAAAATCTGCCAGAGAAGAGAGAAATGGAGATGAAAACACTCTCAGATATCCTAAGAGTACGTGATGTTGTGAAAGAATGTGTTACACTTCATACAAACCTTGCAAAAAGCAAAACTGTAAGCTATCATTCAGTGCAAGGTGACCACAAAAGACTCGTTAAGTCTTTACAGAAAGTAGTGACACAGATTGAGGAGCTTGAACTTCCTGTGATGAAATCCAGACAGTGTATTCGTGCTGATAGTGGTCCAGGTGTTGGTTGTGGAAACCACGAGGTTCAGTTTAGAATGGCAGAAGTGGCAAGAATTTCAAATGCAGACATGCGAATAATTTTGCATGGCTCAAGAGGAGATTCTGGTCAAAATGAAGCCGAACAAACCAACTCTGGTGTCAGTAATGCTGTTTGTGATGGTAGCACAATTGAGTGGGAGAAACACAAGAGATTTGAAAATTTGACAAGTGAAGAAATCGCGGGATTAACACTAGAGGACTACAACATATGTGAAGAACTAAGAGACAAGAAAAATGCATGGTGCGTGGCTCGTGAGGTTGCTTTAAGAGTCGATGGTGCTCCATGTATGGGAGAATATATGAAAGGATTTGTTGCTATTCGCCCTTCAGATGCTTTCTTTTGGAACAAGGAATATCTGGAGAGGTTTTATAAAACACAAAGTGCAGATACAAAGGAAAAAATTCCTGGTTATTATTACATGCAGAAGATTATCGAGTTTGATTGTGATCATACTGAGTCTGGTGAGCTATACCGTGAGTATGTTAAGCATGGCTGTCTTGAGAAGAAAAATCAGTTGTGTGACTGGTGCAAAGAGCACAATTTTGTTGGACCATTCTGTGGTCGCATTCTTAGACCATTTCCCAATTACAATAAAGATGACTTTCATTATCTTGACGTGTTTGACACTCCGATGAAAATAGATGGCAAACCAAGATCCCCTGATGACATGCAGCCGAGGGCAAATATTAAAAAACTAGTGAAGGACAAGAAGTTAATCCTTGGCGACAACAGTATTGAAGTTTTCTCAAAGAAGTTCATAATTCCTGAGACACAAGTAATTGTTGGCTGTGAAGCATATACAAGAGAACGCAGGTGCTGCAAATTTACGGAACGAAGAAAGAAAGAAAGAAAAGAACAAAGGAAAAAAGGGAAAAAAAATTCGCCGACTATGATTGGAAAGCATTGATTGAAGAGGGAAAGTTAAGCGATCTGCATGTGTATGAGCTGGATAAGTACTTGAAGGCGTATAAACTCCCATTAAATAAGCGAACAAAAAAGGACAAGATCAAGATGATTATATCTCACTTTAATAAGAATGTATATTGTGAAGGAGTAGTTGTTGCGGACGAGGTACCATCTAGTGAAAACGACAGTGATTCTGAAAATGAGTTGCTAGATTTAAATGAAACATGGCCTTCCGACTCAGACTTTAACAATACCGATTCGACTGATGCCGACGAAGCAGAACAGGTGTGAAAAAACATCAATTTGCATGCACCTCCATATGCATATTTTAGCGTTAATAAAAAACAGGAATATGCCAGAATAGACACATTTATTCACAATATGACTGAACATTTTAAAATACTATTGTTATTTTGTAACTTTTAAGCAACACCCCCCTAACTGCAGATGTATATTTAAAGATTGTATAACCCCCCCCCTCTATGTATATTTAAAGTTTGTATAACCCCCCCTCTTGAACATTTGAAAACTACTTAACCCCCCCCTGCAATTTTGCCAACCCCCCCTATGCTCTAATAAATGAAAGCCCCCTTAGCATAGACTTCTTCGGAAACACCAGTAGAATGTTTCATTCCTCCCAACATTTTAAATGGAACTGAAAAAATGAAACGAATATGGTTGCACAAGCAAATTGAAGAAATGCTTTTAAGGTTGGTACTTTGCTTTATAAATGATTGATCCAATTGTGAATTAGATAATATATGCATAAATGACATCACAAGATGTGATGCATGTAGGGAATGTTGGCCTAAAAGTAGTCATTAACCTATTGAGTGGCAGCACTCTCCACTTGACGAGTAAAATCGTCTGGCATTAGACAGAGTAAAATACTAAAGTAGGGCGCATCATTGCCATTTAAAGGGTTAAATCAAGTAAATTTTCCATCTGTGATTACCATATGGCTTTTAGTACCAGAATTATCTGCACACATCACAGCTTTATTATGCATTAGGCATATTACCTAACCTGTTAACATTAAGGCACACAAGATATTACATGTGAGATTCATTATTCTTTGCAGTTCACTTTTGTCAACATTTGTTTACTGGACTATTTTTAAGATTTGTAATGGCTGATCAACAACAACTCAAAGATATGAGAAACACAGTAGCTGCATATTCCAACAAGAAGTGACATGTTGACACATTCTCGTGCAGTGTATGTGGAAGAGTGTATACATATTTGAAAGCCAAAGACAACCACGTAAAGAGAGAACATCCAAATTTCCAACCACCAGAAGAAGCATTAGAAAAGGACATGCATTCTGGTCTAAAAGAGCCAATTTCTGTAAGTGATGATCGATGCAACTATGCTATGCTACGTCTCAGTATGGGATTGTTTTTGAGAAACTTTGATGACTCAGTTAAAGAGGGCGATGGCGAGCGTACATAAGATGTTGGAAATTTGCCATGTTGCTATTCAGGTTACATGGTCACAACAAATATGCGCTTGCTGCATTGCAGTTGCAGGCATGGTTACAAGCTATGCTAACTCCCAAACTTTCCCATAATTTAATGTGGAATCGTTATGTTAATAACAAAGGAGGCCCAGGCAAAAACATTGCCTTAGCCTTGAGGCTAGAACACCTTAACAACTTGTTAAAGGGACTTCTAAAACACCTGGGGCCAAACCTAACAGAAAGTGCAGCACAAAGGTGCAGTCAATCTATACATGTGGAAAAGTTGCTGGAATCAGTTGATTCAGATTTAAATGTTAAAAGGTCATCATGTCATCACAAGGTGGAAAAATCACATGATGATTTGGTATCAATAGTTAAAGAACTAACAACCCTTACCAAAGCAAAAGTATGGGAAAGATATGGCAAAGTTTGGGCCATATATGACCCATATGTGGGCATGATATGGGACAGTATAGATATCATGTGGGATTGGTATGGTGTCTAAATTTGTTAAATATGGAGATATGGAAAAGCTATGGAAACAAACACATTGGTATTATACTTGCGATAGATGAACCAGGCGGAAATCGTAATCTTAGGATAAATATTAATGCCCAGCATAAAACATGTAAAAGAGCCATAACAAAAATATAATTTAAAATATTTATTTGAAAGCTAATGTTTCGTCTTTAACTTAAAACATCTTCAGAGCAATGACATATAAAGCGGAAAACACGGAAATATGAATAAATTACAACTATTTACAAGATATTATATTACAGAAGTAGAAAGAGGAATGGATCAGACTAGAAGTAGAGGGACCGAGCTGCCCTGTAAGTTGAGAGAGGGTTTGAGTTTGTTAATGAGAAGACTTTCTCAAATGAGGAGTTCGTCTGGAGAAGAGCAACAAGAAATAATCTTAAAATCATTAAGAGAGGCGGATTGCTGCTTTTACTGCCTGTTAGAGGAGAAACACCCAAATGTTCAGAAACTCATGTGTGCAAGTGACGGACCGTTTGGCCCAAATACATTGCGGAACAGCAACGACACGTGAAGGAATACACAACACAAGATCTTAAAGCGTTAGGAATTTTGTCTTTCTTCAACTCTTCACCTTTAAGGACAAAATTCCTAACGCTTTAAGATATAGAATGATAGAAGTTGTAGAAGGATCTGGCATGTTCTGGAATTGCCACCAGTCGGCATATTGCTCTGGAAGATTTTCTAATGAAGGCCCTACACCAAGTCAGGTGATACAAAAAATAAACATGAGAAGTGTAGAAGCCAGGCGTCCACAAAGAGTTTGAATAGTCTGTAGTCAAGCCCACAAGTTGAGAGGACTGAGGACATTATAGATACTGGTACATTTATATAGATCAATAAGCACTTAGCAATTGACATTATTGCATGTTTGTATATATAGTTATACCGTGGTAATTTAGTTAGACAAACTTTGCAAGTTCATTAAGAAATAGTAAATTAGTTAGCAATTTTGTAATTTGTTTATTTATTAACTATGTTATTTATTTGTGTATTGTGTTTTTGAAGATTTTTTGCATGTTAATAAAACTATGTATGCCACCAGTACAATTTTCTTGAGCTGTAGCAAGTATATTTGGAATGGTATGGCCACTTGTTTCCTTCCCATACCAAACCCACATGTGTTAGCATCTAGGCATTTGGATGTTATATGTTAACATGGTTTGGTATGGGATGAAAACAAGTGCCCATACCATTCCCAATATAATATGTGTCTCGTTCGTCACTCGAAATAAGCTATAGTGTTGTCTTGCGTTGTGTTAACTTGTCTACGACGATAACGAGATCTAATGTAGCGTAGGTTCTTTCGATAGAATCAAGGACGATCTACACCATAGTTTGAATATGTATTATTTACACTAACACAAACTCAAAAGCCAGTGCGAAAACTATATACAACAAAAGGGTGATTATCAAATTATCCTGAATGTCCCAGTTATCCTAGTGCAAGTGTAATTCTATCCTAGTTCAATTAACTAACCTTGTTCGATATAAGATATTAATAATGAACTGTTTATATTAGAATGCATGCAAGATATCTATAATGTTCAAAGTACTGTCAATTCTCGACATCCTCCGGGGGGCGCGAGATTATGGATGTCCACTGTTTCAATTTCTCCTTTGCCAATCGTGCTTAATTTTGCTCGAACAGGTCTGCTTGACGTTTGATCTATGACGTCAGCTGGGTGAGGATTGGTTGAGGGATTCTTTACGTCTAGGTTTTCGTCAATGGTGATCTTTGGGTTCTCTGTTGTTGTGGATTTAACTTCGAGTGAGTAAAGTTTAGTTACTGGTCTGTTCGTATGTCCAGTACTTGTTTTGATATTTGCTGCCCGTACTAGTCCGTCCTTTCCCTTGATTAAACTTTGTACAACAGCAAGTCTCCAGTTAACACGTTTCGTGTCATCATGTACTTGAACCATCACCAACACGTATCTCGGTTGAATTGTTTCCAGTGGTTTTATGAAATTCCCGTAAGCTTGTCAGATATTCTTGACGCCAACGTTTCCAAAAGTGTTGTATTAGGTGTGTTCTCAATTTTGCTTGGACATCAATGTTACTAGGTTCGGATTCATAGATAGGATCACGAAACTCGTCGTCTTCGTAAAGGGGGTGGGGTAAGGTGGTAATTCTCCGGCCATACAGTAGATGGGATGGTGTTAATGGTTCTGTGTCGTCTAGTTCTGATGATACGTGGGTTAACGGGCGGTCATTGAGAATTGCTTCCGTTTCTGAGGAAATTGTTTGGAGCTCTTCTAAAGTGACATTCGCCTTTCCGAGAACCTTTTTCAAGGAGTTTTTTGTCAGACCAATTAATCTTTCCCAGAAACCACCGTACCATGGTGCTCGTTTTGGGATAAATTTCCACTGGATTCCTCGTTTACTGAGATTGGTTTCCAACTCTGTTGAATTGAATAGTAGGGTCAACTCTTCCGCGGCAGATTGGTACGTTGATGCATTGTCTGACACCATAATTTTTGGTAAGGTGGACTGCGCGTGTGTTTGCACAGGTGAACAAGCAGATGTAGACCTTTTCTTGTCCACGTGGCGTTTTGACGTAGATGGCCCCGGTGAAGTCTACACCGGTGACGGTAAATGGGTGGGAGTCAGTCATTCTATAGAATGGAAGTGGAGGTGGGTCAGGGGCATTGTATGGTGTTCCGAAGACCTTTCGACACGTTACACATTTGCGAAGTATTTTCTTGATGTACTGGCGAGTTGTTGGAATCCAATACTTCTGGCGTATTTGTGTCAGGGTTTGGTTTAATCCAGCGTGTTGTAGTTTCTCGTGTGCGTCGTTGACAACCAGCAAGGTGAAATGGTGGTTTGGGCAAGAGTATGGGAAACTTTGCTGAATGTTCCACTGGTGCATTGTGAATTCTGCCACCACAACGAATGATGTTGTCTTCCAGAGTAAACAGGCGAAGTTGACGTACAAGGGGTAGACAAGAGGTTTTCGGCTTTTGTATGTTGGCAAGTTCGTTACTGTAGGCGTCGTTTTGGATTTCCCGTATCCAAACATTTCTCGCGTTTTCAACTTTGTGGACCTTTAGTGGTTTTCCCTTACATGCGTTGCCCTTTTGCAGGGTATTAACGAAGCGAAGTACCCATGCTGTAGTTCGCAGTAGTCGTTGAAGGTCACTGAATTTGGTAGGCGGAATAATCTGGGTTATGCTGGCGTTTGTAGATGTGTCGGTGACTTCGGCAGTGACTTTGCTCGTTTCTTGATCTTCGTTGAGGCAGGACTGCAGAAGAACGTTGTTAGGTTTCCATTCTGGCCAGTGGTCGTGGTTGGTTAGACATGAGTTCAGGCTTGCTTGGTCGGCATTTGGGCTGCAACTGCAGTCGTACACAATACGAATAGGTGTCGTAGGGGAATCTTTTAATACAGCGTGATGTGTGATGTAGTGGCAATAACCGTTTGATGTTTCTGGATTTGTAACTCTTTCAATAAAACCTCGTTTTAACTGTTCGTTAATAAGTTCACTGTAGGTTTGCAATGTCTTGGGGTCTTTGGCTAATCTCCTTACAGTGGAACGGGTTCTTCCTCGCGCTACTGCTTCGTTGGTGGGAAGGGGTCATGGTTAGGTTTCCATGGTAACTTTGCACAGTATCGGCCATTCACGAGTCGTATTGAAGAATCCTGATATTCCTTAACAAACTTGTCTTCGTGGGTTGTTATTTCGTCTGGAAGAATCCCAATAGATTCTAGATTCCAAAATCGTTCTAAAGCTTTGCTTTCGTGTTCCTTTGAAACAATGACTTTCAAGATGGTTGCACTGAGTGATGTTGTCGCAACAGCTGGCCCAGTTGTTGGTCCAGAAAGCAAGTAGCCGATTCTAGATTTCGCTGCAGTGGGGCCCGGTCCCCTAACGATTTCGTCTTCGACAACGTCCCAGTAGTGGTCCGCGCCAATCAAGAGGGATATGTGGAAATGATCATCAGTCGTCATAGGGTGTGCAAGTTTCAAGCCGTTGAGGTGTGGGAGGTTTCGAATTTCGGCGGTGGGGAAACTTTTCTGCGGAACTGCGATTGTGGGAATTATCAATACCTGTTAAGGAATTTTTTCGCCATCTTCGGTGTTGAGATTAATCGTAGCCATGTCTACTTGTTTGATAGAAGTCGAAGACCCGCCAAAGACTGATAGATTTAAGGTTTCACTTCCTTCAGGCGTAAGTTCGAGTTCGTCAGCTAAACTTTGAGTGATAAAGGAACGTTGAGCACCTTCATCAAAGAGAATGTGTGCTCTCGCTATTTTGTTCTGTGTTGCTATCGTATTAATGGCAGTTTTGAGGAGTGTCTGTCTCCCATAGTAGTCGTTGACTGACAGAGACGTGTGGACACGGTCTGGGGTTTTGTCGACGGGTGGATTGGTTTTCGCGTTTTGAACTTGCGTTGTAATTTTCGGTGCGTCGTTATTCGGCGGATGATTTTTCCCGGTATTTTTTGTTGCATCTTTGTTTGTTTCATTACAAAGACTCGTGTGGTGTTTCTTGTGACACCCTTGACAGCGATTTCTCGAGTTACAATCAGATACGCGGTGATTGTTCAAACAGTTAAAACATAACTTCGCTTGGAAAACAATGTTCTTACGGGCTGTGGGATCCTTTACTACAGTACACTCATTAGGGCGATGATGGCCCGAACAGAAAATGCATAAACTCTTGTTTGTAGGGCGATTTTTAGGTGCGTAAAATTCTTTTGCGTTGGCATGGTTTCCAAACTTTCCGGATGCGTTTGTCAGTAGACTCGATGTTGATGGCAGGGTGTTGATAGGTTTGCCTAATTGACTAATTTGACTGAAAGAGTCTGTTTCTTCCCCAGCTTCTAGTATTTGAATTTCTTTCAAAATTGATTTGCGTAATTGTTCTACTGACCATTTAGTTGAACCGTTCTCTCGAATTAAGTTGTGCTTGATTGTAGTGGGAAGTTTACCCAAAACAATGGGGATTAAAAGGTCACCGTAGGTATCTTGTTTCTTTCCTAACGCCTCGAGACCTCGAATATGATTTTCCATGCTATCGTAAAATTGGCGCAAGGTAGACACTGAATTTGAAGGGCATGGTAGATCTAACAAGGCTTGCATGTGTGCGTTAGTTATCTTGTGGGGTTGACCAAATCTCTGTTCCAAAATTGCAATACATTGCGCATAGTTTGACTCTGTAAGCGGTAAACCTTCGATTGATTGCGCGGCTTCACCTGACACTTGAGCTTTGAGATATGTAATTTTTTGTATGTCGCTTAGGCTGGAGTTTTCATGTATAGCGACCTTATAAGAGTCCCAAAAGGTTTGCCATTTTAACATGTTGCCGCTAAATACTGGCAGTGCTAACTTTGGTAATCTATGACTATTTGTATTATGCGATTGTGGCGGCGTACTTTGAGTAGGAAAACCGTGTCCGTTTTGTGGTGTTGTGGTAGCCATAGGGCTAGCTAACGAATTACTATGGATTGTACTTTGATTGATAAAGAATTCTATGGTGTACCTCTTTTTAGTTAGTTCCGTTAAATAGTCGTCGGCTTCAACGATCTCCGTCTCTAAGCCCTTTTCGTCTTCGATTAGATCTGATACAGTCTCATCCAACTTTCGAAGTAATTCGATTTTCGCGTCGTACGTTGCCAGAATGACCCGTAGTTTCTCAATATTAACTTCGTTCGTTTCACCGTTTATGAGTAGTTCAGCTTCGTTCCAAATTTTAGTTGCTTGTGCACGTTGAGCGCCACGTTTTATCCTTGCGCGTTTTAGACCGTCCATCCTGGTCACGGCACCAATATCTCGTTCGTCACTCGAAATAAGCTATAGTGTTGTCTTGCGTTGTGTTAACTTGTGTACGACGATAACGAGATCTATGTAGCGTAGGTTCTTTCGATAGAATCAAGGACGATCTACACCATAGTTTGAATATGTATTATTTACACTAACACAAGCTCAAAAGCCAGTGCGAATACTATATACAACAAAGGTGATTATCAAATTATCCTGAATGTCCCAGTTATCCTAGTGCAAGTGTAATTCTATCCTAGTTCAATTAACTAACCGTGTTCGATATAAGATATTAATAATGAACTGTTTATATTAGAATGCGTGCAAGATATCTATAATGTTCAAAGTACTGTCAATTCTCGACAATATGATAATTATTGCACCCATACCATTCCCATAGTTTATACATCAAGAACCATATGAATTCCATATCATGTTCCCAGATCATTCCCATATAGAATCCTATCTTCCCCATAGCAAAGTTGTTATGAAATAATATAAGGAACCCATGTATTTCCCATAGTAAGTCATGTGGGATATGTATGGATTTGTACCAAATACATATCAAACCCATATCAAAAACATGATATGGGTATGCTATGAAGGCAACCAGACCATACCAAAGCCATATACCTCCCATATATGGTCCATATATGTCCCATATAATTTGGTTTTGTGAGGGAAGCAAAGGAAATGTTTTCACCAAATCTTCAACTATCACGAGAAGTTATGATGTTATGACTAATTTCAAAGACAGTTTCTTAAGGGCCTGGATTATGGCTCCTTAAGTCAATGGATAACAAAACACAAGAACAAATGGAACAAGTTAGAGCCCCTGATATAGTAGTATTTGATAATTGTTGTTTTCAAGTGGTGAACTTGTGTGAGTTAATTGATACATTGGGCACTTAGCATTAACCGATTAGAGCACAAGACTCTCCCTGTGACAAGTAAAATCGTTTTGTTTTAGCAAGCCTGGAAATAAGCATCCAGCCATGCAGTCATTTACTGGTACAAATACGTGATTTCTAGTGTTTTTGACAGGCACAACTTTGATATTTTTGTCAGTGTGTCACTTTGTCCAGTTTGCATTATTCAGCATTTCAACCCAAAAAATTTCCTTTTCTTAATCACTCAAAATGTCCATCTTAAAGACTTAGTATAGATTTTAGCTATCAGAGGTGCCTTAAGCTACATAAAATAACTTGCTGGATTCTCATCACTGCCCAACTGTATTTTAAGAGCTGTGTTAAAACTTTTTATGTTTATACAATATATATATGTACTGCCTGACAAAATATTTCAAGACAGTTAATGTATTTTATATTGGGGTTTTAGTGCTATTTTAAACTGCCAATTCAAGCAAACAGAAAATTGAAAGAAATTTCATTGCATTTAGTTCAAGGATTCAGTCCTTTTTCCGTGGAGATATGTTAGAAATGACAGAAATGTGTACTCTAATATGTTTATTTTGGTTTATGACACTTCATTTCAGAGCTCACAGAAATATTAAATGTTAGGATTTTTTTTTTATTTAATGAAATAAACCATCGCATTGTAGCAACTAAATATTGTAATAATTATGTAAATATGGCCTTATAAACAAAGTTGAGGAAGAAATTTTAGCATGTCCGATGCGAGTGGGACAAAAATAGTACAGCTTAATTACTGAGTTCTGTAGCTGTCATACATATTTAATATAGATCAACGGAATATATCAATGTCCTATAATCAAAATCATCATTTACATACCTGATACCTACACTGTCAATTCCCACAAACTATAAGATAACCATAAGTATATTGCAGGATTGGCAGTGTCTGGTATAGAGATTATATTGCCATTGCCATTGATTTTCAACCACTCCAAACATTGCCATAAGCTGCCATGCAGGGCACTATACTGCTTGGTTTAAATTTAGCACTTTGCTTCGGAAACAAGTGAGAGCATTCGCTGCCTTGCTGATTGTGAAACTGGGCGATTGGGTCACAGTCACAATTCTAAAGACCTAAACACTCTCAAATGCCTTTCAAAACCACAAGTACAGAAATATCATTTTTTAATATTATTTTATATTCAATATATGATATAGGATGTAGATGTAGTAGGTAAGGAGTGTCCAATTTGTCCAAAGTATAAATCTATTATGGCAAATTTATATATTAGAATCATGTACTGTGTGTTATGCTTTCAGAATCAGTTAAGTTTATATACTCTAGTATATTGCTATTTGATGAAGCCATATCTATTTAATTTATTTTGAGGAAGGTTTTGAAAACTTTAAATTTTACCCGGAGGAAATATGAACAGGTTTTGCAACTCTGGAGAAACCATGCAAAAAATGAAGATTGAACAGCTAAAAATTCCTGCCAGGAGTCCAGATCTCAGTCCAATCGAAAATAATAGAAGATAATATTGAAAAAAGACAGCTAGAAAATAATATAACTAGAAAATAATATAACTTGTGAAACTTTTGACGAGTTCACTGCCCATGTTACAACGACAATGTATAACTTTTCTACAACTGAAATTGACAATACCATAAGTCAATGAACCATAGATTAGACTTAGTAATTCATTCTAAAGGTGAGAGGAAAATATACTGAAGATGTAATAAGATTATAAACACTTTAAAAGACATTAACACTGTTTCATGTATTATCGCAGGTGGTTCAGGGCCTCCTGTGGCGTGCAATATCTTGTACTAACATACAATTACATGAATTTTAACCATTTTTCTTGTTCTGTATTGTTCTATATATATTAATTCCTACGGTAATGATCAACAAACTACAAATAGAAACATTTTGCATGATTAACCAAGCATTTGCTCTCGAAAAACACAATAAACAGCAAAAACTACGATTTCTAATAATAGATTAGAGATCAATCATTGTTATTTTAGTAAGTCGGCCGTTTACCATCAAAAATGCCTGTGTACCATGCTTTTATGAGACAACCATACAGTTTTTAGTAGGTTAACTGTTCTATAAAAAAATTCAGATGAAATAGTTGGAATATTAGCCTAATATTAACGTTGCAAAACAACATGCACATGATGTAATGTCTCGCTGGGTGTTTGGCGGGATTTGATAGTTGAATTGGATTAATTTCCAATGCACATGCATCATTTCGGTTTCTCGCTCATCAATAACGCCATTTTTTATGAAAACCAATGGGTTCTTGCTTGTGCAAAATATTGGGGTATCATTTTTGAAGGTTATGTCCTTGGAAAAGTGGGTTTTGGGTGCCAGTAAATGAACTATATGGCCTTCCAACAACAAAAGTAAGTCGTGCATGGCAACAGCTGTGGGCACCAGCGAAAATCATTGAGAAAGATACACTCAGCTGTTTCCACCCCCAATCCATGCGAAAGTGCCCGAAGCTGGGTTGCAAAAGGTGTTGAAAATAAGTGTGAGAGGGTTGAGGAGAAACGTTTTCCCATAATTTGCTGGACCTGTTAGCATTATATTTTGGAACTTCCCTCGGCCCTTGCTTAATAGATTGTGTATGACTTCGCCAAAGTACTCTACTGATAAGCCATTATTGTGAAGAATCTCTTCAGCACAACTTAACCAATCGCCATTACAACTGTGTGCACATTCACTCTGTCTTGCCTCCTGTAGCAGTTCCATTCTTGTTTTCTTTTCTCTCTCCAATTTAGCTTTTGCTTCCTCTATCTCCCATGTAGATTGCATCATATCAGCAACTGCTCTAGGAGTTCGATTGACTAGGAACTCGGCCAGATCAGTTTTTCCTTCCTCTTTCTGTTCAAACGCAAGGGCTTGAAGCTCAATCGAATTCTTAATGTTCCCCTCTACCATGATCTGCGACACCTCGAATGCTCTTACTCTTTTTTTTTGTGTTTCCTGGCGGTTGGCCTCTCTCCTTCTTCATCTTCGAGCAAGGTGTCCTGGGCACTAGAATATCGAGCTGGACGTTTCACTTTCCTCTTGGTGCATCTGGCCTGGCTCGCATTAGTCGTTTTTGGTTTAGTAGCCTCTCATAGACGGGGGTGGTTTTCACTTTGAACAAAATCTTTATCCGACTTTGTGACATATCTCCATGCACTGTAATAGTCGTGATGGACACTCGAGTAGTGGACACTTACGCTGTAATTTTCCATTAGTGAGCCATCGTTGATGGTGAGCCATCATTGGTTTTGTGTAAGTTTTACCACTATATGATAATGTTTTCCTTTGTTTCCGTGTTCCTCTTCTGAGCAACACCATTGCACAACCTTAGCTTTGCCAGTCGAAAAGGACTTCTCAACTCCTAAAGCAAAGTCTTTCCGTGTTGGAATCGGCTTGACTATACGTACTAAGGTACACTGAGTGACTACCATTTTCCAACTCTTGTGCATTAGCCTCACCAGAGTCACTATCACTGTCATATTCCATCAAAAGTTCCATGTCAATTAAACAAGCACACCCTTACTAGGAATATATCATTCATGTACAGGCTATTTTTAGATATGGCTTAGTTATATATGGGCTGTTATTTACTTAGACACCTTATTTAAATACTTAAAATACTATTAAGGAATGTCTTAGATATAACTTAAAATGTATAAATACAGATTAACATGATATAACCCAGATTTGCTAGTTTTACACAGCCACTTATTTGCTAGTTTTACACAGCCACTTAAGTGGTACACTCTCAGACAATCTTGGACAAGACAAATATGAGATCAAATGTCATGTTCATGAGTGTTTAAAATTTCCATGGTTTTGCCCCCCTCTCCCCCCTGATTCAATGTTGCTTGGACGAAAACATGTACCTGGGTTATGTGACTATCAAATACTAGCAACATTGGACTGGGGGAGTGGGGGTTACATCAAAATAAATCCATAATTTAATGGGCATAGCTACAGAATATATTTTTATGGCATGAATATTACACTGGGTCTCAACCAGTTTTGTTTTGTTTTGTCAATTAGCTACTATCCTCATTTGAACAAATGTTGACAATGTCAATGTTATTTTTTAAATGTAACACAATAAAACGTTCTTATTCATTTTACGTTTTTGAAAAATTTAAATATTTTTGTATCTATTGCACACACAATGCAAGACTTTGCAAAATAGAATAATCCTTATGTCTAATAAAGAATGGGACATGTTCAGTTGCACACAACTTTCACTGAGCAGTACACTACACTATTCATTCTTTATTACAAATTAATTTACAGGTGATGGGTCTTGCTTAAGTCCTAGTCAATATATACAATTAGTGCCATTAATGGTCATAGTATCAAGATCAGTTCATATAAGTGAGTTATCTTTGTCCTAAGAATTTAAAAGTTTTATAAATCTATAATGTTCCAAATATATAAGTAAAGTTCCTTTATATGTACAGAATCTGAATTAGATACTGATTACAAATATCTATTGAGCATGCTACTCAGAGTTATCTGTAACCTGAGTATCAGGCCGTACTTTTTAGGGCACAGGCACGCCTGATCGTGGGCGAAGGGGAGAAAAGTACGGCCTGACACAAAAGTGGCATTTTGCCTGGTTGTTCAGTCCAGAATCTGGACTGAGCGCTGACTGGCCGATTAAACAAACGATTTTTAAATCTGTCATTTGATTGGCTGGTGCTAATTAGATTATACTATTGTTGTTGATATATTTTATAATTATAGCCGGCCCACTAAACGGCTGAATTTAAATTAAAACTGCAGTAAAATTAGAAAATAATCGCAAATTAGCGAAATATATTGCAAATGTAGCTTATATTAAATCGCCATCAGATTGCACTATCGACTGACGTATAGTTATAAAGTATACTTAATAATATATATATACTTTATAATTATACATCACTGTTTGTTGATAAATACGGCAAGCGCCATGTAAAGCTCATTGTAGTCACTGAAACCTCTGCGGAGGAGAGAGCAATCGGGTGGCGATTTAATATAAGCTACATTTGCAATATATTTCGCTAATTTGTGATTATTTTTGTTAATTTTATAAGTTCATTGCAGTTTTAATTTAAATTCAGCCGTTTAGTGGGCGCCTATGCTATAATTAGATTGTTGTTGTCGTTGTGTGAAATTTAAATTTCTCCTGCGACATTTTGATTGGATACTAAATATAAACTTTGCTGTGGGCGGAAAGCGATCAGGTTAAGTTTTGTGTCAGGCTCTATTTGTAAAATAGAGCCTGATACTCAGGTTAAGTTATCTGCATCCACAGAACCCTCTGTTATTCCAAGATGTTCCCGGTAAATGTTTGTTGATCCTTGGATTGCGTCAGTGCAACACAATTTCCTAAACAAAGAACGATATCGTTTGGACATCCCAAGTTGTCGTAAAACGTTTGTCTGGGCGAAGACGAGAATTAGCGGCGCGAACTTGTTGGTCAGTGGTGACAGTTCCACTTTGAACGGCGTTGATGATGCGGTCCACTATGGTATTGTGTCTCCGCAGGATACTAGGCATGTTACGAAGGCAGTGGCACAAAACATGAGGGAGAGTCTCATCCGAGTTACAATGGCGACATTTTGGACAGGAATTAGACCAACGACTCTTGACATTATTTACTGGGAGGCAGTTAAATCGAGCTTGGTGGATGAAATGCCAATCTCTGAAACGAATGTTTAATCCATTATATTGCCAGGTAGAACCATTGGCGAAGGTGTCGGTAGTAAGCGCACGGCCCACTTTTCCTTGATCAGGAAGAGCAAGGTAAGGTGGAAGCAAAACGATCTTGAACATGAAAATGAAAGAAAATGACTGGCTTCTTTGGCAAGAACAGAACCAGAGTTCTCAGTGGAAAGGACAGGGAGACCATTGTCATTGAATTGAATTTCAACACCAAGGTTACGTGTCGATTTATGAACTCGGGTCCATAATGATTGAATGTTATAACGTAAGTTGGTCAAACGGTCATCGGGGAGGCTAGACAGGTATTTTGATTTTAAAGAAGGGGTTGGATTAGATCGGCTAGCGAGTCGGGCAGTTTGGTTTATCTCAGCATTAGCAATGTTGCTTACAATCGGGTCGGAACAGGAGAGCATTTTAACTGCATGAATTATAGCCTGGACATCAGCCTCAAGGGTTGGATCCAGGAGACCGAGACCACCAACACGCTTATGAGCGAAGATGTAGGAAGCAGAAGCACGGGATGGTAGTGCACATATTCTACGAACTGTGGCCACGAGCTGGGAACGGTATACCAAAAGATTATCTTTTTTGGGAAAACCAGCACGAAGAGCAAATGTTAAGGAAGGTTGAAGGAAGGTACGGATCATGTCCAGTTTTTGCCATGGAGCTAACAGTGATTTCTCAATGCTCTCCAAATCACGAGTAAGGTCCTGTACCAGATCCGAGATGTTGTCAGGGTCATGAATTAGGCCTACACTACACTACACTACACTACACTACACTATCTCTAGTGTCTGATGGTTGTGAAATATGTCTGCAAATTTAAAACAAGACCAAATTTCAGTACCATAGCATAACTTTGACTTTACAAATAATAGGTATAAAGAATGCTGCATTTTGGTTTCTGTCAATAAAGGACAAGTTCTCTTCAAGAGACCAAGTATCTTGTTAGCTTTAGCTGTTATCATTTGAATATGCGAGTTCCACAAGGGATTTGTTTGTCACGATAGCACCGAGATCTTTTTCTTTCCGGACACAAAGCAACAAGGATGAGCCCGGGTGATAGTTGTAAGTCACGGGATTTTTTCTTTCGAATGACGCTCAAAACCTTACATTTTAATTTGTTGAACTTGATGTTATTATCATGGCTCCACGTGTCAAGTTGGATAAAGATTCTTGTAGGCGATCACCGTCAGTCATAGAGTTGATGTTTCTAAACAACTTTGTATCATCAGCGTACATAGCTTCCAAAGAGTCATTGGATTTTACGTCTGGAAGATCGTTTATGAGGACAGCAAAAAGTATCGGACCCATGATACTCCCTTGTGGCACACCGGAGATAACAGAAACCCAGCTTGATGGGACACCTTCTACAACAACTCCGCTTAAATAATCACAAAACTAGTCGAGAAGACGCCTGTAATGCCATATGACTTGAGTTTTCTTAGAAGTATTTGATGATCTACAACAGAATCAAACGCTTTGGCAAAGTCAAGGTAAATTATATCAGACTGAATGTTTTTGTCAAGACACTGACCAACAGAGTGAAGAACTTGGACAAGCTGAGTGACACACAAACGATTTCTAAGAAAACCATGTTGTGATGGTGGGACGAGGTGAATGATGTGATCGTAGAATCTCCTGGAAACACAACGTTCCAAAACTTTGCTGATGATAGGCAGGAGGGAAATCAGTCTGTAATTTTCAACGGGCTCTTTAAGGTCTTTCTTGTGAATGGGTCTAACATCAGCTGATTTCCATGGGGAGGGAAGGCATCCAGTGCGTAGTGAATGATTGAACACGTCACAAATGCTAGGTGCTATTTGGTGGCTACATTCCTTTAGAATTCTTGCTGGAATGCCATCTGGGCCGCTTGCCTTAGAGACATCCAGATTATATAGACACACAGCAACTTCTTCTGTTGTTAAGGTTATATCAGATATTTGGGTATCAGGATCAAAAGAGTCTAAGTTATTGTCAGTGTCAGATTTTGATGGTACAAACACAGATGAGAAGTATGAATTAAAAAGTTCAGCTTTGTCTGCTGGAATTTTGGCTGTAATATCTTTGTAAGTAACAACCGCGTTGTGTTGTTCCTTATGGTGTAGAATAGCTTTATGGTAGCTCCAGAAAAACTTTGGGTTTTTGTTGAATGAACTTTTAACTCTTTCTAGATATTTGATGTTTGTCATTAAACGTGACGCTTAATTCTCTATTGTGTAGTAAGTATAGGAGCAGATCCTCCAGTTATTATACAGCCCAGTGTATCTCCCTACAAATATACAATATTTGTAAAAAAATACAATAATAAGGGAAATACAACTCATGCTTTGATTAGTGTACTCACAAGTGTTACAGATGGTAATGGGTGCCTTGCTCGATTAGCCCTGTTCGACTTTCAACTTGAATGATCACCACTTACTAGTCCAAAAATTGTACACTCTTAATATCCCTCTTGGTGTGATAAAATGGGTGTATTGAAAGGTGATTCGAGCAATATGCAATCTATTGTAAATAGGATGAGGGGCTCTGGCAAAAACAATATCATTTAGGCATCTGATTGGCCACAACAAATCTGTCAAAACGTTTTGAAACAACGTTTTGTATTTTTGGAGTGTGTGCTATTTAGGGAACTAATCAAATGGAGTTGTAGCAAGATGCTGGATGCACATGCTGTACACTTACAGCAATAACAACACAAAAACTGTTGCAAATCTATCACTGTAATAGTATGGTGTTTGGTAAAATCAAACTATTGCAATTTTTTGCACTTGCTAACCGAGCGTAAGAAGGGCTCTGAGCGAACGCTAGTGAAAGTGAACCCTATATATCAATGACCGATGTCAATGTTGAAGAACAGTATCTTTAGCACTCTTTCAGAGTATCACTACTTATTGTTCCATATATACCGGGTGGCCCAAAAAAAATTTCGTAATAACTTCTAAACAAGTAAAGTTTTTAAAGAGAAATAACTTGCATTAAATAGAGGAAGGACTAACTTAGATTTTGATATATTACAGTTGTATTTAACTTAAAAATTCACGGAGATATTAATGTTAAAAATGGGGAGCATATTTTGGAATGTGTCTAAAATTAGCGAAAATCGGCATATCAAATATTAACTCCTGCGTTTGTTTGCTTAATGACATATTAGGCTAACTTGTATTTCAGCGAATTATCGTTAAGGTTTGTAAGGGATATGGCGTAGATTTAGACATCTTACATGTAAGTCTTAGCTCATTGTTTCCTGAAATATGAACGTTCGAAATTATGCAAGTATTTAATATTAGGTCTTTGCAAACTTAAATGTACATGAAAGACTGACCATGGAAGGCAGGCGCTTAAATTTTTCGTATTCTTAAACGTGCTAGGAACACACGCGAATTTCGGACGAATGAATCTTGCTTGTATTTTGTAGATATAATAATACTTTGTTTCATAATAAACAATTTGTCAAGTGTCATTTATTTACTGGTAATAGTGCATGTTTCAGTCGGGCAAATCTTGATTAATATTTGATACGCCGATTTTTGCATATTTCAGACACATCCAGAAATATCCTCCCGAATTTAAAGATTAATATCTCCGTGAATTTTTAAGTGAAATACAACTGTAATATATCAAAGTCTAAGTTAGTCCTTCCTCTATTTGATGCAAGTTATTTGTCTTTAAAAGCTATACTTGTTTAGATGTTATTACGAATCAAACAGGAGTACTTTTTTTTGGGCCACCCGGTAGTTGAGTGCAAAATCTTGGGTTTATTCCTTGAATAATTGGCTGATTATGATTTTATCCTGAGTGGCAGTCAACTAAAATCGTCTGCATTAGGCAGTGTAAATTAATGGAATGAGGGAATAGTTGGTATCAGCAATGAGAATACATTAATATAATCTCTAAAGATGCAATGTTATGTTAATTTCACTTTCATATATAAGATGGTTTCCACGCCGTCTTTTGATTATTTAAGTTGACTCCCGATTCGTGCATACATGAGTTAATTTAAGTAGGATAAAACAACATTTTAACTGAGTCAATTCTTTAAACTTTACAAAATGTTATAAAAATAAAATTGATCAATTTTTTGAAATATATCTAGTTGACTCGAATTTTAATTGGGTTTATTCCTTGATTGGGTTTAGTCACTCTGCTTTGTCTTACAATTTTCAACTCTCAGATAGGTATTGAAAGAGATTATTGATATTCTGCCAATGGACCCACATGTAAGTAAGATCACCCTGGACTTCAAAACTGTGTTATGGAAAGCCTGCAGATCTATTTTACCAGATGTAAAACTGCAAGGATGTGTTTTCCACTGGACCCAGGCTCTTTCTTTAAAATAATTAAGCTTTATAATGCCGTCTATAAAATTCAGAAAATATAATTTGTTATTACCCATCTGAACGGACTTTACATGGCAATTATACAAATTTCTTCATGGAATTGTTGATGTTAGTAACAAGTAGGCACTAAATTGGAGTGGAAAAAATAGTCAAGAGAAAATTATCAAATAGTCATGCTTTAATATGACAGGACTTGAGATAATTTTCCATGATTTTAATTTAGATTCTTTTGTTACATAGATTCAATTATAAATATTTAAGATATTCAATTATAAATATTTAATCAGATCCAGCCAATCTTCACCACACTAAGTCAACTGGCTCAAAATCCACCTCTTTCAAAGTTGGTAGAGTACGTCAAGAAGCAGTGGATCGAAAGCAAAACATTTCCTCCCAGAAACTGGAGCATTTACCAGGAAGCTTTTCAGACCAATAATGATATTGAGGGTTGGCACAATGCTCTAAACAGACATGCAGGTGGAGGAAGCAATTTATCTTTGTGTCTCCTGATCGAGATATTGGAACGAAAAGCCCAACTGACTGCAATCAACATTAGACTCGTGTCGGAATGCAAGCTGAAAAACAGGTGGGAAATTTGTCTGAGCATGCACAAGCAAAATGAGCCACACAATAATTATGTGGAATACACGCAATGTGTGTTTACAAATATTTTCAATTGTGTAAATATTGCTGTTCAGTACAAAATAAATGACAGACAGAATTTTTTAGTGACGTTCTATTTCAGTACCCTGCCATTGTTCCTGGTGTGCTGTCCATGTGCATTCGATCTGAAACAGTTGCTACTTTGAGTAGAGACAAGTCATGCATTTTATAACCTTGTAAACTGTATGAGCCCTTATTTTTTCGCTTACACCCAAGATATCAAAATAAACATACATGAAACAGAGAACATTTTTAGAAAGTTTTATCATGAGGCAACAGCCAGTTTTTAAAATATCTTCATTTCTTTTCCAGTCATCACCAAAATTACACTGAAGCCGGGCATGAATAAACAACAAATTTTGAATCTCATCAAGTACAAAAATATTTAACATGTAACCAAAATATACTCATGAAATGGAAATTAAGAGCTAAATTTTAAAACTAGACCCTTCTCGAGGCGGTTTTCATGAAGGAAGTTCACTTTTCGGCCTTTGATTCTTGGCAAAAATATGATCACAACATGTGCGAAGCAACTGGGTCTCAAAGATATAGCTAAAACATTGTGAGCCCCTATTTTCCTGACAATATGTTTGATACAAAACGCCAAAAAGGTTTTTCTTTCCATTTAACTATATCTGAAATTGAGGTCACAGGCTATTTTTATGAAAATACAGTTCAAAGTCAAGACATATTTTCAAAATTTGTCAAATTTTGCAAGCTTGCATTATGAACTTATATTGCTAAAGTTGCATTAAAAAAATAGGATGGAAAATTTCAGGCATATAAAATAAATTTCAACTTACATTTCATTCTCGTATCACGTTTTTCTTCGTTCATTACGGTTTTAAACAAGCCATAATTCAACATATATGGTATTTGCTTCCATGTTCACGTTGCCATATTCACTTCTTCCAATCACTCGATTACAACAAAAATCATCCCCCCCAAAAAATCTTAATCGATTTTTAAAAGAACCGTTAATTTCTAAATCGTAGAATGGGTCGTTAGCTAAAACAGCTTCTTGCTAACTTTCTGCTTTGTTTTGAATGTATTAAATTTTTGGTGACGACAAATTTCCCACCTGTTAAGCTGAAAAGGTCCAACAGAAGACATACAGGAATCAGCAAGAAAAACTCTTCCAACAATGGGAACTGTATGAGAATGGTAAGAAGACTATTGAGGAACTATATTACGATTTTGCTCTCATATATTAATGGACCAGCCCATGCCTAATGAAACTTAAAGATAAGTTAGGCTGCGTTCATAATTTATATGGTGGAAGGCTATAGGGACTTTCTATTTTCATTAAAAGAATATTTTCACTTTTGACAAACAGGTGGGAAATTTGTCGTTGCTGACCAAAAATTGCGGGCAGAAACAAAGCTCATTGCATTTACATTCAAAACAAAGCAGAAAGTTAGCAAGAAGCTGTTTTAGCTGATGATTTTTTGCTTTCCATTCACCGATTTACAAATTAACAGTCATTCTTGTAAAAGTCGACTATGAATTCTTTGTTTTGGGATGATCTGTTTTGTAATCGAGTGATTGGAAGAAGTCAATATGGCGACGTGAACATGGGAGTAAATACCGTATACGTCGATCTGTGGCTTGTTTAAAACCGTAATAAACGAAGAAAGATGTGATATGAGAATGAAATGAAAGTTGAAATTAACTTTATATGCCTCAAATTTTCCATCCTATGTTTCTTAATGTAACTTCAGCTGTCTAACTTCAAAATACAAGCTTGCAAAATTTGACAAATTTTGAAAATATGTAAAAATATCTTGACTTTGAACTGTATTTTCTCAAAAATAGCCTCTGTCCTCAATTTCAAATATAGCTAAATAAATGGAAAAAAAACCCAACTTTTTGACATTTGTAGGTATCAAACATATCGTCAGGAAAATAGGGGCTCACAATGTTTTAGCTGAGTCTTTGGAGACCCAGTTGCTTCGCACATGTTGTGGTCAAATTTTTGCCAAGAATCAAAGGCCGAAATGTGAACTTCCTTCTTGAAAACTGGCTCGAGAAAATTTAGCTATTCATTTTAGCTTTTAGCTTTTAAAATTTAGCTATTAATTTCGATTTCATGAGCATATTTTGGTTACACGTTAAATATATTTGTACTTGATGAGATTCAAAATTTGTTGTATATTCAAGCCCGGCTTTAGTGTACTTTTGGTGATGACCGGAACAGAAATAAAGATATTTAAAAAACTGGCCGTGGGCCTCACGATAAAACTTTCTAAAAATGTTCTCTGTTTCATGTATGTTTATTTTGATATCTTGGGTGTAAGCGAAAAAATAGGGGCTCATACAGTTTACGAGATTGTAACATGCATGACTTACCCTCTATTTTCATGTAAACATTCGAAATATTTCAACAGCAAAGTTGCTAGCAACTGTTTCAGATCGAATGCACATGGACAGCCCACCAGAGACAATGACAGGGTACTGAAATAGAACGTCACTAAAAAATTCTGTACGATTAATTTAGACCATGTCCATAAAACAGTAATTTATTTTGTACAAACATTTGGCAATATTTACATGATTATGCCTTTTTGTAAACATGTGTTGCGTGTATTCCACTCAATTGTGTGACTAATTTTGCTCACACATGCTCAGACAAATTTCCCACCTGTTCTTTTGACAGCACTTTAAACAGTGAGAAAAATATCGACTCATCCAATAAAATCTAATTGTACATTGTAGAAATGTGATAAAAAATCTGCCATCTCCTACCTAAAATCCTGGCCAAAAGTCCTTGGGACAACCCAAAATTTTCGCATGTTATTGTTCTCTTCAGGGAAAGCAGATTTAACGGAAAAAATATGCTTTTGAACCGAACCCCCCACCCCTCCCCCGTTCAATGTTAATTTTGGGGGCATCCTTAACTAAAATTGTAAGAACTTTCAACATTGAATTTGGGTGGGGGAGGGCATGGGAGCGTTGTCTTTAGAATTCAAGGGTGGAAAAGGTTGAGTGTCCCAACACTTTTGTCCAGGATTGTAGTTTTCTATCACAAGAAATGGATTACAGTATATTACTCTACCTAATTACTCTAAATAGACTATAGCCTTAATACTCTGCTTCATGTTTATATGATTCCAAAGGTCTACAGACGCACATAAAAATCCCCGTATATACCAACGCTTCCTAAGTTAAATATACAATAAGTTTAAAAGTATTGTACTGCAATATACATATTTGTTGTTTTATTTTTGTACATACTTGGGAATTCAAGCCAAAAATTTTGAATGTGCATGATGACAAACAACGAGAATAAAATGTCAAAGTTTGTTCCAAACTTCACAAACAGGTTTCTAAACAAAGCCTCTGATTGAGACTACTAAATACAGTAAAACCAGTAAAATCGAAATTTGCAACCATGTGCAGAGAAAAGTAATCTGATTTTGACTGTAAATCAAATTTTATAGTTTTTTGAAACACTCTGTATATAAGCCTGGCTTATGATTCTCACATATATAAAATACAGTGATCTACACAGTTGCTCACATAGTTGAAGGAACTAATTACCATTTCCGTATACATCCTTTCACATAGACATGGACACCTTGCGAGTGATCTTATATGATCATGCAGTGGTTACACTGTATGTAAATATAATATTCTATATTAAAGCTCCATTATGTAGACATATAAATTTTGTATATAAATACGAGTAAATAAATTTTGTATTTATTTTGTATTTGACTTACCAAGAAATCAGGCTGCCTGTGATGAAATAAAAACCGACCTCCCTGTGATGAAATAAATCTATACATGTGGTTCAAAGATAATTCCTGGCTAGTAAGATAACAGTATTTGTGCTGTACAGAATACATTAGAATAGAAAAGAATAGACGATTTCCCATGCTTGTGAACTTATCAGGATTTACATATATGGTACACTTAACTAATTAGTAATTACATTTTACAAACTAAAAATTACAGTTGGCTCTACAGATAGAAATAATTATATAAAAATAAAAAATACCTGCTTTCCATAAGTGCCATACAGTTTATATCTATGTCTTATATATGTCGGCGAATCGATCTGAGACGTTGGCGAATTGACTCGGGACGTTGGCAAATTGACCGTTAGTGAAATGACCGCAATTCCATTCACTGGATGCTCAATAATTTAATCTTATTGTATTCTCAAGTAATCAGCATTACATTTCATTTTGCATCTTGATCCTCGACATTGAACCCTTGACCTCCCACCATCGACCCTCAACAAAAAAGAATATGTATTAAATTAAATGTTAAGAAGTGTAACATAGTTACAAGAGATTAAAAATTAATGGATTATTTCTAGGTTCTTAACAAAAGGTCATAACTTGTTTTTCACAAACAAAGTTGTCTAAATTAAAACATGGCAAACTGGCATAAGATTGTTCCCATAATAGTTGACCACATAAGCATAAGTAGTATAGGGAATGAGGGTTCTAGACCACTAATCGGTTTCGTCGCGGTCATCTCTTTTTTAATTTCAGCCTTAAATCATCAAGAATCCTGCAGTATTCTCGTCCAGATTTTCTAGACCATCTTCGAAGAACCCTCCGATCTTCTGTTTTCATTTCAACTTCCAATCCAATTTCAAACTTCCTAGTTAACAATTTACTCAAAATCCAATCTCAATCAACTTATCACTTCCAGGGGTTATGATTGCCTGAACCCCCAACGACTTCGCTTTCTCGCCCACCACCATTCTCAAGTATTTTTTTTCATCTTGTGGTAGTATGTCATAGTTTTTCCTCATATGATTCTCATCGGTTACAACTACCCTTAGCGGTAATAGTTTCTTGAACTTGTGTCATTTCAGGGGAATCACCACTTTGTACTCTGACCTAGGAATGTATGGTTCTTTTGGTTTTACCTCAACAGTCACCTCTTTCTTTAGTAACTTTTTTCCACCAATTTTCCACTGTGGTTTTGCACGATGCTTTTTAGTTTTCAATGGCTTCTTCGGTTTGGCTTTCTTTGGATCAGGCTTATTTATCCTGATATCTTTCATCATAGCTTTTATATTATCCGATTCATTATGGAAACCCATTGAATTGTTTGAGTTGTATGATTCATCGTAATGTGGACGTATCCATTCCATTACTTCAGAGTCATTATTAATTTCACGTAACCAGGGCTCTGGTGGTTTGAACCTTACATGTTTAGCACTAGGTTCGGGGAACTCCTCATCCAACTGAGGTCTGCTGTATAAGACTAATTCCATTCCCACACGTTTAGCTTTACCGAGGGTGTAGTATTCACTTTTAGGTATTACTCCTATTAGTACGCAGCTTGGTTCCACTTTTTCTTCAATTACCACCTCAGCCTTCATATCACCTATTGAGTGATGTCCATATGCGTAACTTGTAACACCATCTTTAAGTAGGTATCTTTTATCATCAAAACAGCTGAGTGTAATTTTCTTTAGCTGGTAAGTTCCAATCTTATGTTTGATGCTTCTGATTGTGTTCATATTATGTCTCATCCTACCTTTAGTCTTAATTACGTTCTTAAAGTTTTCGTGAGTGAGTTTGTTTCTGATCACGTACTTTTTTACACCTTTAGCTGTCATTCCACCTCCACCACTCTCCTTTACATAAGAGTACATCTTTGACCTTAGCCCCACGAATTCAATCACTGGTACTCCTTCAGCTTCATCCTTGAACTTCCCAATAACCTTTTTGTTATGGGCTGAGTAATATGGAGAATCTTTTAGATAGTCTGAATTATCCCAACAATCCTTCTCCTCACCGATCCTCTTGAAGTCCTCATACACGTCATCAGTTTTGATCTCGTACATTAGACTATCGGTGTCCGTGAAGAGGAGCTTCGACTTGTTACCGTACTCCTTCTTAATTGTGTTGTAATGGAAGTCGTACATTAGAGTTTTAGACAAGTCCAATATACTCATTCCCACATAGCACGGTTTATTCAGAGTTAACACTTCCTTCATTCTCTTTACCACAATCAAGCTCTCATTCATAATTCTATGTGATTGGAAGCATGGAGACGCTGTAAGTTTAAGGAGGTCGTTCTCGGATGACACTAATTTCACGTCAACTCTCTTTCTCAAGTTTTCCATAGTCTTTCCGTAGATGGAATTATTCATGAGCTTGAAGAAGTTTTTTTCAAACGCATTTTTAGCGACTGATCGTTTTTGAGTATTGAAGTCAATATAGTTTTTCAACCAAGTTGACTGCTTGAAGGAGACTGCTCTATGAACCTTTGTGAGTTTCATTCCTAGTTCCATGTAGAGTTTCAGATTCCTGACATGTAGAACGTAATTCTTTCTGGGACCCAAGGAGTTCACAAGTTTTCGTACACCTCCAATTGTAAGCTGGAACTTATCGGCAATATCCTTAGCATAGTCTGATAACATTGACACATCAATCTCCTTACTTTCTGGAGCTAGAGGATAACCATTATGTATATCATGAAGTTCTGCTGGATATTCCATATCAACCTCAAGAACCATACCCCTTCCACTGTCTCCTAAGTAGTCATCAAGATTTATTTTATCAACTTCCTCAACCCACTCAAACTCTCCATTTGGAAGAGGTTGAGACATTGCCCAGCCATATAAATTGTTGGCATCGAGGTACATAAGGAACTTGTTTTCAGCCTCTTCGTCGTACGTTTCCATGTACTTATTATTTGCTGTAGAGTGTCTATGAGCAATGTGACTTACCTCACCTCTCATTCCCTTCTCAAAGAACTGGAACATATCCATATCGCTTACCAATTCTATTTCCTCTCCTGACTGTTTTAGGAAAGCATCCCAACTTAGACTTGGTGCTGAGATGTAGTGAGCAGGGTCAAGCTTGTAATTTTCCAAACAGGTCTTCCTGAAATTCTCGAAAACATCTGCTAGAAGAAGAACGTCAGTCTCCAGGTAGAGATCATGGTAGTCCCTCATTGTTTTCATCTTAAAGTGATCCCAAACTTTTAGAGCTCTCTGGTAATCTTCTTCTTTTACTTCAGACTCGTATAGAGATGAGTAGAATTTGTCTTTACTTGGAAGCCCCTCAGTGTTAAGTTTACTTATGTCATCTAAGTATTCATATGGAAATATACCTTTTTGTCTCACAATATTGAAGTCCTCACCTTGCCACCGCTGACCGACTATCTTGAAGTCTTAAGGTGAAAGGTTACTCACAAGTGCCTCCAGGGAAGAAGCCATGAATTGTATTGAGTCAATAAACACAAGACTTTTACCTAACGAGAAGGAAATCTTTTTTTCCATGTTATTTGGGATAACGTTAATGTTCATCTTGAACTTACCAATCTCCTGCATTATCAGATGACTATCATAACCTCTTAGATTGTGGAAGACCACTGGAACTTTCCATGTAATTCTATATTTTAGGTTGCACATATTATGGGCAGCTCCACGGAACAGTCCAGTTACATGATCGTGGTCTCTCACTCTGTCATCACCTAAGTCGTTACCACATATGGAGCAGTTCCTTGTCATCCAGAACTCAGCTTCTTGCTCTGGTGTAATTACCATCTTTTTCTTAAAGATTTTGTTCACCATTTCTCGGCACTTGATGGATTCCTTTAGAACTGTCTTCAAGAAGACTTTTGTAGCGTCTTCACCAACGTAGCTTACATATTCACCGGAGTACTGATCATCATAATGACACACTGTTTTCAACCCGAAACTACAAGCTTTGTGTGTTTGGTAAAGTTCTGTTGTACTCTTCTCCTCAGTGTCTTCAGGGTCAACTTTTCTTTCCTCAGGAACTAGCATGGACTCAAAGTCAGCATAGATCACAAAGGGTGCAGGCATTGAGTTCCTGTAGTGTCCGAACTTTATTTTTGAACCTTCACTTGGAAGCTTTGTGGCCTGAGTTCCATTTACCTGAAGACACGTCTCCTTATGTTTCTTCAATGATTCTTCGCTGACGCAACTATGGAGGCAATGTAAACAGAAGTGTTTCTTGTTCGAGTTTCCGCTAACACTGAAGAGCATTCTATTTACATCCTTTATTAGAACGTAGTGGTTACCACCTTCATTGTCACCTAACAGCAGCAGCTCCATATGTTCGTCATATTTGGTCTTAGAGTTTCTAACTGGATAGAACTGCCTCTTACCCTTATAGCCGAACACCGATATGCTTATTGAGTTCTTCCTCTCAATTTTATCAATATCGCTTATTTTCACGGGGAAGTCTATTCCCTCATAATCTAGGTTTTCCGCGAACTCTCTATCTTGCTTTGTTATGGTGGTTGCTCTCCTAGCCTTTGGTCTTACATGTCTCACATGACTCCACATAAAACATTTCTCGTCGTTGTTTTTCATGTTAATTAAACCACATTTTGGATTGCTAATGTCTGCGGGTAATTTCATATATGAACTACCCTTTAGAGGTTTGTACATTGCAATATTAATGTAGTGGCTTTCAATATTTAGGATAATCCAATTTGAACCTAAGTTCTGGAAGGTTTCAATTCTGGATAAGATTGTCAGTTGGTTTTGGGCTGCAGTGCTTTCGATATCCTCGAAGTTGGTCGCGGTTCCAGTTTTCGACTTGAAGTATATTGAATCCTTCTTTGTTTTGTCATTTCCAATTTCCTTCGACATTCTTACCTTGATGGTTTCCGTATATTTCAACCCTCCCATTCTCTTCAACTCGTTCACTAACACTCCCCTCACCACCTGCCTACTTGCTGTCATCTGGTCCAGTGGATCCATATAATTTGGAGTTATTGAGTAAGTCACAGCTGCTCCATTTGCGGCAGTTTCTATCTTCCTATAGGACGGCTTTTCAAGATATGTTCCGAATGGATCAATTTCATGCTGCTCTGGTGTTACCACTGCAGGCTGTTCCACAACTTCCTTCATTACCTTCACAGGCTTTCTTAACTTTGGAGGAGGTGCTGGCTTTTTTGTTCTAGGTTTAGGAACTGGTCTTTCCCTTAGAATTTTGGTTCTAGGTTTAGGAACTGGTCTTTCCTTAGGGACTACGGTTCTAGGCTTAGGAGTAGGTTTCCATGAAGCTACACCCTTTGGCACCTCAGGAGCTTTCCTTGTTGGTTTTCTGCTAAGATCCACAGTCACCGTGAACTTACTTGGTCCCACCTGAGTTATTACGCTATCCGCGGGAACTGAGAGTTTTATTCGGTTTTGACTTATGAATCTCTCCGCAACAGTCTGTCTTCTAACCTTAGGTTTTTGTGTTTCGGTAGCCTTAACCTTTGGTGGTCTTCCACGTTTCTTTGGAATCACAAGCTCAGCGTTAGACTTAACCTTTGGTGGTCTTCCTCGGGTAGCCCTAACAGCGCTGTCAGTCTTAGCCTTTGGTGGTCTGCCTCTGGGACGCTTTGGATTCCTAATGTTCTCTAACCTCTTCATTTCCGCATTTACCTGGGGATCATCCGTTCTCCATCTACCTCCCATTGTTGGTGGTAGACCTTCAACTCCTCTACTAAGTAAGCTCTGGTATGCCTCCTCGACTAGTAAAGCCTTTGCCTTCTGTCTCACGGAATATTTCCATGTTGGCATTATACCTCTCTCACCCTTCTCATTCAGTGGACGCCTCCTTGGTCTTTTTGGGTCAGTAGAACGGTCACCTTCATCTATGAATAGTCTTTGTCCTTCAAAGGGATCTTTACCCTTATCCTTAGGTGCAACTCGATAGAACTTATCCTTAGATATTTTTTCCACTTCATCCTCGAAATTTTCCTCATAATCGCTGTCATTAAGTATCTCACTAAGTGCCATAAGTTGTTCAACGGTCATGTTGTTCATGTCAAAGTTTGTCGCCATTTTTTCACTCTTTCTCTATATACTATAGGTAAAAAAAAATAGACCTATTTAAAGGCCTATTTAATTTTTATTTAATTTTATAATTAATATTTTATTTAATTTTATAATTTAATATTTAATTTAATTTTATAATTAATATTTTATTTAATTTTTATTTAATTTAATATTTTATTTATGTCTAAATTTCCAGTTATTATAATATTTGCAATTTTCTGGTTTCCATCCCAACTCGGGGAAAACCTTTCCATATAGTCTGTCCTCAAGGATGTTCACAATTCTTTGAGTCTTAATGTCCCCAGGTGGGTTTCTCAACATGATGTTGTTCATGCTGGCTAACCTTAATAGGTAAAACTTATATCTAACTATGTTGCGCCCCCGTTGCAGTCTGAGTCTTTGTATACATCTTACGATGCTTCTAAACTGCTCCCTTATGGTATCCCTATCCCCAGAAGCAACATGCTCGAATAAGTGTCTCTCAAACCAACGGACTCTATTATGTGACGATTTCTTTTTTAGGTAGTCGTCCTTGTTATGATTGTAACTAACGTAGTATGTGAAGTTGTTCATAGCACTAGTTCCGCAATGTGTGCATGTATCTGCTCCATCTATTACCACAATTGACTTACTACCACATTCACTACATACTGGGTCATATGTGTGTTTGACCTTCATTTTATTTCTCACGTATTTCATTACTGCAGTCTCTAGCTCCTCAATAGTGTTTGCGTTCTTACCGACTCGTTCCATTTCATCAGGTGTTACCAGTGTCAGCCAGTCCATTCCCTATACTATATGTGTTAAAATTTTCTGCTTGTTTTTGTGGTTTATTTTTACGGCTCCTTATTATTCTCCATTCCACATATTTTTTAACTGCAGCCTCTAGTTCTTCTATGGTGTCCACCCTTTTTCCCAAGGCCACCACTTCGTCAACGTCTACCATTGCAAGCCAATCCATTTCTCTATATTATATATGCAAAAGAAAATTACCGTATTTTATAGAATTAAGTAAGCTGCCCCTCCAACCACCCCACCTATGATTAAACCGAAGATTGCCATATATTCTTCCATCTCTGAGCTAGGTTTGTAGTGATTGCTTAACTGCGGCCTCCCCGGCATAGCCTTACGTGTTAACTCATTGATTCTTCTAACGAGTTCCAGTGATTTGTTTGTTGCATTAATATCCCTACTTGCCTCAGCTAATTCTGACTTTAGCTGGGCAATTCTATTTCTTCTATCGGTGACTTCCTCAAGGTACTTCTCTCTTTCAGCCGTTAATTCCTCCATTGCAATGTTATGTCTGTGGGCTTCCTTAGCATATCCGTTCTTATCAAACATCTTAAATAAGTATCCTGCTCCAGCAAATGCAAATGCGTTAAAAAGTCCTCCTGCTACTGCTCCCGCCATTGTATAGTCTTACTTAGGTTTGAATGGATCATCTGGTATATACTTCTTTTCTTTCAAGTAAGATACTAGTAGAGATGAGAGGCTAACTGAGACAGCTAACTTTACCATTCCTTTTACATTCTCTGGGGTTCCTAACGGTTCTTTTAATAGTTTTTTTGATGCCATTGATATACCAACTGCTCCTGCTGTAAGTAACACTGCGTTGTACACTTCCGCGGTCATCTTTGATTCTTTACTCATCTTGTTATAATATATATTATGTTTAATGTATCATTCAAGTGAATCTAACCTGGACTCGTCAGCTTTCCTAGTTATCTCGACAGTCTCAGTTACGTGCTTGGGTTCTGGTTCCCTGGTTTCCCTCTGATGCGACTTGTATGCCAACACTAGAGATACCAGTGCAATGGCCACTCCTATGTAGGTAATCATACTGTCATTACTTGATGTCTCCTTAGGTTCAGCAAGTTTCTTTTTCCTCTCCTTTGCTATTTTGCTGATTGCAGCTAATCGTTTTCCTGCCGCTACTCTCTTTGGGTCCTTCTTCTTCTCACTTGTTACTTGTGCTTGGATTTGCTCAGGTTTATCTTCCATAATACTTGTAAGATACCTTAGGTTTAACTGGGTTTAGTCTTATGAGACATCTTAGATTCTACTTGTGAGATAACTTGAATCTGTTTGTAAGATGTCTCAAATTTACTTGCAAGATAACTTAAATCTACTGGTGAGATAACTGGTGAGATAACTCAGATTTGCTTCTGAGATAACTCAAAACTTACCTGAATTGAACCTTGGTCTGTACGTCTTCACGTCACAAACTACTTTTTTCACTGCAACTTTCCTTACGGTTTTCTTAAGCGAGAAGTACTCGTTGATTCTAATACAAGTCTTTATCAGATCATCTGATACCATTGTCATGTACCCTATTCCCCTCAATTTCCTAAACCATATATCCTGATTCTCACTTATAACTCCGGTGCCCTTAGGAGACTTAAATTCAATAGCAAATCCTTTGTACTTCCCCATAGGATTCTCTATGATAAGATCTGGTTGACCACCTTTATATCCCTTCTTCCAGGCATCACACCTTCTTGACACTGTATCCTGATACTCACCTAGACCAGGTACTATTACAGCCTCTGGGTAGTTATCTCTAATGTAACTTACAATGACATTATGAAGGTCCGTTTCATTTATAAGAATCATTTGGTTATATCTTAGTGACCTTCTATCTGGTAGTTCATATGAGCCTGTTTTACGGATAGATGGGAGGACTTCACTAAATACCCACCTCCTAAACTCCTTTGCTGTGTTAAGCTCTGATCCGAAAATTAACTGATATAAACCCTGTTCTGTAATTAAAATAGAACCGGGCTGACCTTTTAAAGGGGTGCCCTTGAGGGCACCCCTTTGGATGGACCCTAGAGTGCACTTATCCTCTTCCCAAACATGGTTTCTAATAGCTTTTCCTGTATTCGAGTATCCTAGAGATTCTGCCACATCTTTTGCATAAAACAGTACCTCCTCACCCTTCCTAATAGTTCTCACGCTAACATTCAACTCTCGGTTTCTGAATAGTTTTTCCATCTTTTTCTATATTATATATGTAAAAAATATTTATACCTATTTAATGGCTGTTTGTTTGGTATTTAAATTTTATTTATGAAGAGGGGCGATTCACCCCTCTTTCCTTATCCCAGTATCAGCATTCCCTCTACCCACCCAGCTGCTTACTATGTACTTCCTACAACAAATAAAATACTATACTCCATGAAGGTTCTTGTATATCTTTATTACTGTTTTAACTGTGTCATCCTTAAAGTTGTAGTAGTCATACTGGAGAGGTAGTATGACCTTATTCCTAAGTGCATATAAGTCCCTCTCAATTGCGTCAACTTTCTTCCCAATCCTGTCTATCTTTTCCATACTCCTGTTGGTTTTCCCAACCAATTCATTAATTACGTCTCC